CTTTTCTTTTGGTTCGCTTGTCCTTTGTGTGGAATACGAACAATTGAAATCCATTTTAAACAGATTCTGTCAGATTTTAAGAACAATGAAATACTCGAAATTTAAGCTGTTACAGTACTCAAAATCTCCCAGGAACATTATGTATTGTAAGTCTATAGGTGGTTCCAAATGTCGTCAAATTTGACAAAATCTGTTTTTCTTTAAAATTTAAATGTATATTTTGGCAAAAGGTTAAACATTCAAACACATACAGGTGACTATAAAAATGTTATCTTTTTTCGTGACCTTGCTGACTAACATGACTTAAATTAATGGTCAGTTTACTCCAGTGAAACAAATTCTCAGGCATATAATGACTGATGTCAGCCTACCCTGTGTGTTATATCAGATTGAATATACAATGTTATACATTCACAGAATTCTTTTTTACTGTGTGGAACGAAACAAAGCAGATACTGGACCGTGAAACAGGACAATACAGACTATTTAGCCAAAGGCTATTGTAAGGATTAACTAAATCTCATTTCTCGAATTGACTTACTGACGGAAATGTTGGGATAAATCCACAGCTATAGGTGATATATAGTTGTGAATTCACTCCAATATTATACACCTTAATGTCATTGTTCTTACCCTGTCCAATAATGATGTATTTTCTACACAAGTACTATTAATAAGGTTATGCATACTTGTACATCACAGGGTATCACTACACTGGGTACAGAAATCATAAAACCCTAAGGGTAGGGACTGCAGTTTATTAAGCTGATGTCAATCGCTTTGTATAATAATAATGAATTTCTGTATCTAGTGATAGAGAAAAGGTCGGTATGTGCTTGGTAAATCAAGAATTTCTACCATTTGTGTAAACAAGCACTGTTACTGTGGTATTGTCAGCTCCTGTACAGGAAGCCAGGGGGAAGGTGGAGGATATGCAGACAGTTGTTTGCACAACCCAGTAATCCATCAACATTCCTATGTTATTTCATTGCTATATATTGTCCGCAATTGTTTGGACTTGATCCGGGGCCAAACAGAGGGAGTTAGTGTGACATTGGGCTTGCGAGCTAGAATGTATTATGGCACAGCTTACCTGTGCTCGGCCTTACCTGTTCTGGACTCGTTAGCATATCTATACTTAGCCATACCAGTAAGGATTGAACATACCTTCGTTGTTTACCTGTGAACAGGTTTAGTAAAAGCCTACATGCTGTTTTTGTTATCATTGGTCCTGGATTTTTAACTTGCATTTCTTTATAAGAACCCATTTGAGGGCTGATAGTGGTATTGAGACTGGGAGAAGGTATGTGGCCGTGTGTCATTACAATCTGTTTGTGATGATGATTATTTTCTCGGATGGAAATTTCTCTCTTGTTTGGTGTTATTGTAATTAAAGGTAAGACTGACGATTATTCCTTTCTAAATTAACATAATTTTTTTGTCTGATGAAATCAGTATTCATAATGATAAATGCTTCAAATTGTGTATGGCTATTAATGTCCCAGCTTGATGACATAACTGATTTAATGATGTCTGTAGATAATTGATAAGTCACTCAAATATATAGAAAATGTTAATGAGGTAATAGGTTATGAACGATAATTACATTGTTTCATAACAGAATTGATTTCGCCTTCAGTCATGTTCACCCTTTATCATTATATGCCCAAGTCTCCCCTTGTGCTTGCACTTGACTTAATATTATAGGTGTCTCACAGACTCAATGAAACCCACCCAACGCCATGTACATACACAGTCCCCTTCTCCCCCACCCCCCTCCACCCATGTACATACACAGTCTCCTTTCTCCCCACCCCCCCTACCCCATCCCTCTTCCCCTGTCACTTTACAAAGACATACACATGTAGACAGATTAATATACCTGCATGCAATATACTTGTGTTTTACACAAACATTCTCACACCCGATCCACACACCCCCTACCCCTACCTCCTACCACAACAACTAGTACACAATGGTCACCTAGACAGAAAGAACAAATCATACCTCCACACAGAACCTCACACAAACTCGTCCCCCTTCCTGCACACACTCACAAACATCAACTCTCCTACCACATCCTCACAACACACACTCCCACACATCAACTCTTCCCCTCCCTACACACACTCACACACACAACTATCCCACCACATTCCTCACAACACACACTCCAACCACACCACATCCCTCACAACACACACTCACACATGTCAACTCTCCCACCACATCCCTCACAACACACTCACACACATCAACACTCCCCCTCCCTACACACACACATCAACTTCACACTCCAACCACACCACATCCCTCACAACACACTTTCCCACCATCACCACACATGTGATTAAGACAGAATCACAAGCATACAGGCTCTTGATCCTCAACACACAGAATAAACTTCCCACCCGCACCTCATCACCATTGACTGCCCCTAACCCCCTCCACTTTCTTGCCCCTTCCACTCATATACTGTAGATGAAAAGTTTGAGGAAATTTTCTTGTTATTCTGACATAATATAGAAATGAAAAACCGATTCACACGCTTATTGTAATTAATGCTTTCAAGTACATTAAGGACAAAAATGTTCCCTGGGAAATGGAAATTCCAGTTTGTGTTTTTTTTCCTTCCCAGTTTGATATGTTTAACACTCATTAGTGACATGTTTATGTGATTAGTTCTATTGGCAGGTGAGAGTAACGATAAACGGGACAGGTAGTCACTTGTTCTGTTAATCCTTACTGAGCTGTTACTAATTATAGCTCATTTTTTATCAATTAGGAATTTTATAAGTGTCTCGCTGTACTTCAGGTGTTAATCAAAATTTGGTAATTAATTTGCTACAGGTGAGAAATATCTCTAATTAATCTTAATCTAATTAGAAGCTTTTTATATGACAGATTTATAATTAAAAGTACTTCAATATATAAATATACTAGAAACTGATTTTGTTTGTGGTGTAATTAAATTATACAGATGTGTTTAGGATGATTGAATTAGAGCTGATTTCAGTTTTAATAGGTTAATGTTTATGACAGTTATTCATTACTGGAAATCAGTTCTTAATTATTCTCAAAAGAATGGTTTTTAAAGAATCTACCAGACTCTATATACTGCAAAATCTTCAGTTTTAGTGGGTGATACATTTTCATTGATTTTGTAGGCAATTCTACAAGTTTACATATCCAGGAATTGTAAAGATCCATATAAGTATAGACTCACTCAGCAATAATTAGCAAAAAATAAAGTTAACAAAAAGGGATTTAAACAAAATGAATGTGACAAAAACATATGATTTTACAGAAGTTAATAAATGACAATTAAACTACGTCACTTTATTTAAAAAGTAATATTATATGTTGCTATGCTGAGCTTATGTGTGGTCAGTTTTACAGAAGAGATACATCATCATTTATGTGTGTATATGATATTTGAGAGGATAATTACAGACCACAATGTTAAAAGGTCAGATGTTAACTGAAATAGACTGGACCTTAGAGGCTGTAGTCCTTGGAATGTACATTATAACAATGTGTCATTGTGTAAATAAACATGAATGAACATTGGGCTGTATCTGACACAATGATAAATGTCATGTGTTACTTATTTAAGCTCTGACATACTGGTAGCATTATCACACAGGTAACACACAAATAAACACCTGACTGAGAGACATAGGTAACCATTAGTTCATAGGTTAACATGTTAATGAGTGACACAGGTAACCGTTAGTTCATAGGTTAACATGTTAATGAGTGACACAGGTAACCGTTAGTTCATAGGTTAACATGTTAATGAGTGACACAGGTAACCGTTAGTTCATAGGTTAACATCTTAATGAGTGACACAGGTAACCATAAGTTCATAGGTTAACATTTTAATGAGTGACACAGGTAACCATAAGTTCATAGGTTAACGTCTGAATGAGTGACACAGGTAACCAGTTGCTCATATGTAACATCTTGATCAGATACAACAATGACTGAATAACTCATATGTGAACATCTAAGAATTTATCATAGTTAGCTCAGATATATCATGGTCACTCATACAAACTCATATACATGTAATTAGGTCAGAAATAGACAATTCCTAGGTAATTCATTTACATATACCTGAAGCTGTTTACAGGTAGTTCACATAACTTAAACTCAATCTGGTTGCTCACATGATATTTCATACCAGTCAAGCTCACAGTTACACCAATGAACAGATGACAGAATAGCTCATACAAGTAGCTCTCAAAGTTACCCCATAGCTCAACAGGTAACTTATCAAGTATATCACACAGGTTAGTTTTACTAATCAGGTGACTCATAAGGTATCTGGCACAGGTACTCCATCAGGTAATTTACACAGGTACTCCACAAGGTAATTCACACAGGTACTCCATCAGGTAATTTACACAGGTACTCCACAAGGTAATTCACACTGGTACTCCATCAGGTAATTTACACAGGTACTCTATAAGGTAATTTACACGGTACTCTACAAGGTAATTTACACAGGTTCTCTGCAAGGTAATTTACGCAGGTTCTCTGCAAGGTAATTCACACAGGTACTCCACCAGGTAACTTACACAGGTACTCTACAAGGTAATTCACACAGGTTCTCTGCAAGGTAATTCACACAGGTACTCCAACAGGTAATTTACACATGTACTTCAGCAGGTAACAGGCACATTTGTTCGCCACCAGGTAACTCACACATGCACTCCTCCAGATAACTCGCACATGTTCCTGATCCATCAGGTACACATAGATAGATAGCTCGTTTATTGCTAAAAGTGGCCACAGATTATATTTCTGTTTTTAGCTGGCCCATCGTAAACTTCTGTTTTACTGAAATCAACAGGTGATGTGCCTCTATCAACAGTTTCTCATGTCTGTTACACTTTTTGTAAATTTCAATACAATGAATTATTTAAATTCTGCATCAGTCATACAGTATACCTTATTATTAGAAAAAAACTAAAGTGAATTTTTCTGTTTTTCAGCTCAGAACACATTTTGAAGCAGGAGTCTGATCGACGAGTGAGAAATGTAAGTAAACATGATGGACAATACAATTGGCATCACATCAGACTTCATTACCCCCAGAAGGAGATCTTGATGAAAATTTTAAAAATCAATGGAAAGTTGACTAGTAATGTGAAAAGCACACATTCATTTGGAGCTCACCAGAGCTCTGTCAGGTTTTCTTGGGTCTCCTGCTGTGTTAAAACCAATTTGCATGCTTCAATTTAGGCTAATAGCACTCAGTTAAACATGTAAAAATTTTTAATTTTTGTAAAGTGAAAAAACGAATTAAAAACAAAAAATAAAAAGCCCAGAAAGTGAGGATTATAGAAGACTGTAACTTGGTAGTTAGTAATGTTTACTTACATCGTGTTTACCTTGATTTGGGTATAAATGTACAGCAGGTATTTTGTTGAGATGAGGGTGGACCGTGAAGATTTTCAGCAGTGATAAACAAGGACGTTTGAATAAATACTTAAACATTCTTATTTTTTGGCAATATCAGCACTATAAATGAAAGCCATGTTACATTATAGAGAATATCAGTTTTGGCAATTTATCATGTCAACTAGGATTTTACGTACGATAGATTTAAGGCAGGTGGCTGTACAGAATTTGGCAATGCTAGTATTTATAAAAGGGAAACTCATTACTATTCAAGGCTGAATGTGGCTTTGATACACTAATTCTCTTCAAACATGCTTGATCTAGTTTTAGATATTCCCTCCTACAACATGTGTCCAGTATGCTTTAGTCCCTCCTTTAACTGATGCAGTTGAACGGTCTCTAACACGTAATAGTTCAGGCAATGACAGGACATGAAAGGGAAAATTTGTGTTCCTGCCATGTTACAGTGTTTGCTAATCTCTCGGAATAAATCCTGAGGTCATGACCTTTCAAAACAAAGGTGAAGACGTCAAACCAAGGGGCATTTTGCATCATTTTGGTGTCATTTTCAAAACTTGTTTTCTTTTTTTCATAGAACATAAAACACACACAGACTTATTAAAAATTCCATCATCATGCCGTAACTAAAAGATTTCTCCTACTACTGTATATTTTGTTTATAAAAAGACAATTTTACTGCTGTTGTATAACACAACTGTAATCGAACACAACCTGTTGATGATAAACCATTTCTTAGCTTGACTGTTTTGAATTCAGGGGTTTTTTCTGAAATTTTTCCTTAAATAGAAACTTTTCGATATGTCTGGTAATTACTTCACGATATGTCTGGTAACTACTTCACGATATGTCTGGTAATTACTTCACGATATGTCTGGTAACTACTTCACTATATGTCTGGTAATTACTTCACGATATGTCTGGTAATTACTTCACGATATGTCTGGTAATTACTTCACGATATGTCTGGTAATTACTTCACGATATGTCTGGTAACTACTTCTGGTAATTACTTCACGATATGTCTGGTAATTACTTCACGATATGTCTGGTAATTACTTCACGATATGTCTGGTAATTACTTCACGATATGTCTGGTAATTACTTCACGATATGTCTGGTAATTACTTCACGATATGTCTGGTAACTACTTCACTATATGTCTGGTAACTACTTCACGATATTTCTGGTAATTACTTCACGATTCAGTAAATTGTAATTGGGAAGTAATCCACAAACAGACATGGTAATCAATCTTTTAAAATTACGTATCAGTAGCTTAGAATTTTAGCTACTTTGAAACATTTGACATTCATGTTTGCCAAAATTGTTTCTAGCTGTCATCCTTCTTCAGAAATTATGTGAAGTTGTGCTTAAGCAACAGCTAAAATGAAGTTACCCAGTTCTGAATATCATATCACATTTTGGGATTAAGGACAATTTACCAATCCACTGTAGCTAGTGTTAGGACAGATGGATAATTTTTGTTGTATCAGAATATTTACATGAGGCATCCTGAAATTTCAGATTTCTGACTGACATCATTATGAAATGAAATATTAAACATTGGTTACTGAGATTAAAACTATCTTCTTTACATTGAAATATATCCTGTTTACATTGTATTGTAGATTTCTTGTGTCATGTTTGCTGCTTTAGGGTTGGTTTATTTTCAATAATAGTGAGATCTGTTTTGTGCCTTAGAATATCTGTGATCGATATAGCGTGACCCTAGTTCAGTATCGAGTCAGATGTTTGACACCAGATGTCACACTCGTGTATAAACGCCACCTGATTGATTGTTGGTAAATACTGATGTCATTTACAGATCAAAATTTTGAAGTGAAAAATACAGTAGTATCAGTCACCGATTCATTTGATCTAAGTGAAAGGTATTTAACCCTTGTGATTGAAAGTGTCATTTATTCTGAGGAGTTAAGGTGAAGTCAGTGAAAAAGAAGGTAGGAAATATCCAAATGATCAAAGAAAGGACGATCAGTCTTGAGCATACAGAAAGGAACTGACTTCTGAAAAGAAGAAATCCTAAAATCCTTAAAAGGATGGCTTTAACTTAAAAAAACGCCCAATTTAGGGACAATCTGAGTTATACACCAATTTTAAGATGTAATTGGCTGGAATTATGACTGAAATTTTTGTTTCCTCATGTATAACAATATGTTTCCAATAGAGTTCATCCTTTGATCACTTAATTGGATATCAATGTTTTGATAAATTTTCATTAAAAGTCTTTTGAGAGAATTAGGTAAGAAGATCATTTTTGGTATTATTGTCTCACACTTGTTTATTTTTGCTACTATTATAGTTTATAGGTGATATTTCTGGTCCATTGAGCCCTAGTAATTTATATAGCAATAATAAATTCAACATTTCATGTGATTGTAGTCGTTCATTCATGTTTATAGTCTATAGTTCAGGAACATTCATTGGATCACACTATCGACCATGGGCAGCTGTGCCTCCCTGGAGTTAGATGTTTGAAGAGCTTGACTGAATGTTTAATACACATTATTGATTAAAACATTTTGTTGATGTCACTTTTGAATATGTCACATGGCTGGTGTGAATTTTTGTTCAGTAGGAAGTTATTTTTAGTTGTATGAAGTGAAATATGTGGGTAGGGTATTTGATGACACAGAAATCTTTCCTATCGTACTTATCACTGTACCTTGGACAGGATTAGATATATTTGGTATGTAGGAATATCAATCAGTATTTACATGGTGGGAGGCAGTTGCACACATGTGTATATACATTATTCAGATACTTATCTTGGGTGGAGTAACAAGAACACACAAAGCTAGGTCATTGATTTAGTGGAATTTGTATGATGAATGTTAAAAGTTTCTCAAACAACTATTGAATGTTATTGATACTCCTACTTGAAAGTTTGCTCTTCAGTAATGATCCATGTATTTGCCACCCTGGTTGTGGAAATATGTCTAATCCTACACAGGAGTATTCCTCAAGATGGTGGCCTATTGAACTTTAACAGGTGACACAATTCACCTTTATCCAGAGTTTCAAATTGTCCTTTTCCAGGTTTTGAGTTGCATTTCTTTGGATGATTGAGTTTTGTCAACTAGAATCTGGAATTCAAGTCATAAGCTCTACCGAATGCAAAGTTATGGCCCTTTGTTCATTTCATATGCCAAGTTTTGGTCAAGGAACTAGGTTTATTATATGTATGGTTTGCTTACAAATCCTGCTCATTCCATGCTTTGTCTGTTAATCTGTCTTATTTGACATAAAACATCATTTTTCACATCTCCGATGTGGGATTCCTTAAATCTGTTATTTCTTGTGTTATGATTTTTTAGATCATTCACGATGGTATTAACCAAAAGTGTATTTCTTTTCTCACAGGTAGCTATTGGAATTTACTGGTTAGGGAAAAGTGTGTATCATACCTATTCTGGACCACAGCTAGACTTCAGTGCATTTACACCACTGGTACACCACAATGGCAAAGACATAATATCAGAGGACCACTTCCAACAAGATAATTGTGAGTTTGGAGACCAATCAAGTTCATGTGGGTCCAATGAGATTCACGACAGTGTAAGACAGTCAGTCGACAATAAACACGTTCGAGATAGTGCATATGACTCGTACGGGTCGTTGTCAAATTCAAGAGAATCAGAGTTAAGTTTTTCGCTTGAAGAATCAAATATGCCTGGAGTACAAATGCGCAGGGCAGATAGTACCTCATCTATAAATAGAAGTGGCGACTTCTCACTGGCAAGAAATTCGGAAGATGACTCGCTGTATCAGAGCACTCCGGACCTATCGAGCAAAAATAGCCATACACGAACATCTTCCACGGATAGCATGGATGGACATGTTTCAATCCCTACTCGCTCACACGAGAGGAAAACCAGCACCACTAGTGCAAACCCTTTACAATTTGTTAAAGTGAATTCATCCAACGACATGGCCAAAGTTGCAAGCATGCAAATGAAAATGTCTGAAGAAGTGAAAAAAGTTCGCTCCAAAAATGAGAGCGACGAACAGGAGTGGCAGTCGGTAAGAATGTTTTACAAGATTGCTTCCCCCTACTCCCCCATTTTTAACCAGAAATATACTACATAGATATTTTACAATCAAAAAGATAAAACATCATTAGCTTTTAAAGAATTTTATTTTAAAGACATTCTTCATGTTTATTTATCTCTTTAATCATCCAGACGTACATGTTTTTGTTTCACAATAAAAATTTTAATTGATGAATTTTAAGTAGATTGTACATATTTAATATTAGTCTTTGCGAAGTGTAGATAAATGCAGAGAAATTCAGGATTATCATATATACATGCTTTTTTATGTCTTGTTTTTACACAATTTAACTGTTTGATGACACTACCTGTCTCACACATTTGTTGCTCTCTAGTCGGTTTTGGCTATCGAACAGGTATTATTAACTTCTTTCATCTTTGTTATTTTTTATACTGTACACACTAGAGCACATTTACCCTGATAAGTAATCATTAGGATTATTATTTACATTTCTAATTCAAAAATGAAGCAGTGTTGTTAAAATTTAAGTTGTTATATTAATTGGTAAATCATTTAAAAACATGAAATCAGACATTCAAGCTAAACTATTAAATTTGATCAAAATTTTAATAAGTCATAATAAATACTGTATTTTCTGGATTATAAGCCACAGCATTTTCCTTGGAGGTTAGGCATGTGGCTTATGGCTTATATACCAATAAGGTTTATATGTGGACAGAAAAAAAATTGGCAGAATGGGAGGGGGGAGGGGAACATAAGAGTACTCCAGTACTGATTTTTTACGAGTACCTGTCCATCATGTTTGTGACTGAAATAGATCATCTACAAACGGCATTTGCAATCATATACAGGAGAATTTTAAGTTTGATATAAAAATAACATTCTTGTGGATTTAATTAGTCATACCTTTTAGCATGAATCACAATAAAATCTTCTTAACTTTCCTGGTTGATTCGGAGGCCATAGCAGATGTTTACATCCTGTTGCATCCTGGGATCATAGGTGATTAGGTTATAGGTCAAATCCTTGTAAACATGCTTATTTACGATAAAAATGGATTCATATAACTTAAAAGGAGTAATATGGGACTATAAGAATTTTGCCAGCATGCAAGGACCTTGCTTACATTTAATAGTACAGACACCAATGGAGATACTGTTAAGTAAACCATACGTAATGTCAGACCCTATATCTGTGTGAAGACGAGTTCAAATATTGCTATTTTACATTTTTGAAACATATCAATAAAAGGAAGGATTATTTGTGTATAATTCATTTACAAACTTATGTTAAATGTTTCACTGACGATCTTGATAAATTGGCTTCCGTTGTTTGTTTTATCAATGCACTTTGGTCAAGAAAATAATGGTTACCACACGTAAGAAATGGTGCAACTCATATTCCGGTAAGGCTAATATGTGGATCAAATCGAAAAAATCGCTAAAAAAATTGGCTCTGTGGCTTATATACTTGTGCGATTTATAACACGGAAAATACAGTAGTATTGTGGTAAAGTAAGATGTTCAGAATATCTTTTCTTTATCTGTTTTGAAATCATTGCAAAATTGGGTCACTGCCACCTTGTTTTTAGCTTTATGTGTAGAAAATTATCTTTGATTCAAAGTATTCAATATTCAACAGTAAACGTGAATTTACAAAATGAAAAAAAAAAGTGGGAAGGGAGAGGGGGAGGAGGGGGGGGTGTAGGAAAAGGTTTAATTTTTAATGCTTTTTCAAAGCCATCATAGAATAATGAATTAAAGTAGAAAAATAGAAAGTTTAAAGCACATCAGGTCATGACCTACTTTTGTTTTGATATGAATCAATAAGACGTTGAAATGAAGCAATGATATATTCTGTTAAATCTTGTCTTTTCTACAAACAGACTTGACTACTTTGTCCGAGGGGTGTCTGTTTTCATCATGGTCAGTTCATTTTTGTGTGGATGATTCAGCTCCTTATACGCCTCCATTTGTAATGATTATTATACTTAAGTATTTTTTAATGTTGTATAAACTTAGTAGGGACTTTCAGAGTAACTGTGCTCCTTTATGTGTACACAACCAAATTATTTATGATGAGTTATGCACTTTTTATTATAAAGAGAGGAAAAAGATCTATATATATATATATTCTTGATAATTTTATGATGATTAATTTAAAAGTGCATAATTGATCAACAATGACAGTTAATGCACATCCTGCCTGATGTACTTAAGTAATTTGGTAATGGGTAAGTTTATAAAAAGCTGGTCAAAACTGATTTGTTTCAAGAAAAAACAATATTTGTTGTGAGGAAGGAGAAAATCAGATATTCATCTCCAACCAGAAGACATTTGATCATGATGACAAACTGCAATAGGTGTTATTGCCAAACATGATGATAGAGTTATGGCCTTTCGTTCACATCACATAATATCGTGGAGCATTCACCACAATACTTTATCCTGTTTAACTGTATTTTAAATGGTGATTTTGAATATCAAACATATTCATCTTTAAATAAATCCTTGATGGCTCAAATAAACTGTTTGAGTGTATATATAGGACATATAAGTATTATCATGAAGCAAAGACCACAGTAAGGGTGTGTCTTTAAAGGTCAAATGTGATAGGTCAACATCATCTTTGTGTTGTTAAAGCTAGGTCATGTTAAGTCCACTTTCAGAAACTATTGTGGAATTATGAGAAAATGTCGAACAAACACCTTTATATGATATTGTCGTATGCATGGGTGTACTTTTTTTCTAAGTCAAAGGTCAAGGTTATGGGAATATCATTGTTTTTAGAGTTGTTCTAGGGACTGATTATAATCAGCAAAAATCGGTTTTAGTTTCTCAATTTTGTTTCTCTTTCATTTTCCTGAGATTTTTTGTAATAAATAATCTGGTATTAATTTACTGAAGTATTTAAAACCAACATATTAATAAAACAAATCCGGCATATATTATTATATCAAGCTGTGCACAATGGTTTCTACCCTTCACTTGTATCTAATGTCACGTGTTATATGTATTTCATAATTCAGCAAAATTGTATGCATTTTTTGTCCAGTGGTTAATTAACAAATTATTGTATATCATTTGCCTTTAATAATATTATTAGCTCTAATTAGCCATAAGTATATGTAGTTTTTAAAACCTTCATTTACATAACTGTCACATTCATGTATGTTGATATTGGGGTTACACATCACAGTACTGAATATTCTATAAATGTAAAAATGAACATAAAACTTAAACAATTTTCAAAATCTTAATGTAAAAGTACTTTTCTAAATATCTCGATTATATTTGATGTTAACATGTTTGTGGATCTATAATACATAATTTATACCTACATGTATATGGCTTCCTGTATAAAAGTTATTTTTGGTTTTAATGTATTCATCACTTTTAACAACCATCCCACCAAAATAGTATCTAGGCACATGAATATTCATGATCTAAAACAGCAGTTATTTGAAATATTCATTATTCTGTCAAACAGAGACATAAAGAGATAAGAAAAGAAAGGAAAATTTATCATATATTCATTTAATAATCATGTAAATTACCTTTATGTGAGAGATGGAATCCTTCATTCTGGAATTTTTTCATGGGATCTTAATTTTCTGTTAACTTTTTCAACATTACTCTTGTGGGATGTACTTGATCATTATCTGATATATCTGAAAGATTTCAGTTTTTATGAAGTGAAAAATGATTTAGATAAATTTCAAATAGAATTTTAAGTCATATTTTTTGCTTACCTGGTCCAAAGGACCTGTGAGCTTATGCCATGACACAGCATCCATCGTCCATCTGTTGTCTGTTAACTTTTTACTAAAATTTGCTATTAGATATGAACAACTGCATAGATTTTGGTTAGAAGTATCCTTGGGGTAAAACAAACCAAGTTCATATTGTTTATTGGCCCCCTGAGGCAGGAGAGTTGGGGTCCAAAAGTGGAAATAGAGTAAATTCTTTAAAAGCCTACTCCTCCTGTAGGAATGAACTGATATTGCACGAATTTGGTCTCAAGCATTCTTTGGTGAAGAAGAATCAATCATGTATAAAGGCGAAGTCTTAACCCCCTGTGACAGGAGGGGCTGGGCCCAATATGAGAAATTGAGTTAATTCCTTAAAGTCTTGGTCTTCCTGTAGGAATGAATTGATATTTCCCAATTTTTGTCTGGAGAATTTTTTGGATGAAGTGGAATCAATCTTGTGTAAAGGATGGGTGTTGACCATCTTGTTTATGAAAAGTAATGTATATTGATACAATCTCTGCAGTCTCATTTGTAATATGGTGTGAACACAATTGAGACAACACCTTGTTACATTGTAATGTTAATATTACCATAAGTTATGATAATTTGATAGAAGCGTGAGAAGAAGTATATAGGATTTTTAGGTTCAAGAATTAACTTGATCTTATGATCACCATGCTAGTATGTTCTTTTGTTGGAATTGTTTGGATACAAATTTTAAATACATAATAACATAAAACCTTGTTGATACAAAAGGTAAGTATATGTTGTAGACAAACATTATTAGTGTCTACAGATGGAATATTGTATTTACCAATCCTAGTTAGTAATAATCTTAATATGAAAATGATTTGTGATATGTTTGGTCAGTCAGGTAATCAGAATTGTTAGACAACATGATAAACACAATCAGTATTAATTATGCACATTTTGTCATACATGGATGGTGTGACATCATCACCTATTCATTGTTCCTGAATATTCATAAGTCTAAGACAGTGGAAAATATGTGAGATGGACAGGCAAAGTGAAATGATAATTCCAAATTATCCTTTTTTTTCTTGATGATTTGATTAGTATTTTTTTTTTTTTTTTTCAAATTTATAATTTCAGAAAAATTCCATCACTTTTAACTTTTTTATTGAATCAGAGCTAGTTACAGCGATGAAATTGAACTCAGACTTCAATTGCTAATTGTATAAGACAGTCAGAGGATATCTACAGGAAATCACTTATATATGTCTTCAGCAGGTATTTTCTATTAGACACTGTTTTGGAAAGCCGTTTAATTCTACTGTCCGCTCCCAGCATCAGGAATGTGTGATGGTATCCTGTGGGAATGATTAAGTCATATCATGTAACTTATCTGTTTATTTACCATATATATAATGTTGGTAGGAATTACTTACTGATGTAGTCATTAGGTGGTACACAGTTAGGCAGAATTATATTATCAGGTATATCGATGTAGTTTAAAGGTACACAGTTAGGCAGAATCATATTATCAGGTATATCGATGTCGTTTAAAGGTACACAGGCAGGCAGAATCATATTATCCGGTATATAGAGGAAGTTTCCAGATACACAGGCAGAATTATGTCAATCTGTGTATATTTATATGGTGTTAAGGTTTCCAGGTACATTAGACAGAATTATATTACCTAAATACTAGGCATATTGATGTAGTTTTAAGGTTTTCTAGGTACAGAGTGATAATGTCTGTGCAGTGATTGGGTAATGTCTCCAGTTACACAGGTGTATTAGTTGTACTTAAATATATATCACACCAAAACTGTAGCTGACAAAATCATTGAAGGATTTCTTATTATTTGGGAATGGTAAATGGTTGGTCCTGTCCCCCATTCCTGCAGTTCTGACACCAGTAGTTATGGAGGTGACAATATTTTTAACTTTCAGCCATGGGCCAATGATCAGGATGAGGATTGGAAAGCAGTGAGTTTCTAGACTTGGTGTATATATCCAGCCCCATGCTTACAACCCGCCTCAAATATTACTTTGAAATCAAAACAACAGAATAAACTGCTACAGTATAAAATCAAAGAATAATTGCTGAAAGTGAAACAACCCATATTCATCCAGCAATAAGCCCATATCTGATAATAAGCCCACTCTTACCTGTTGGTACCCTGGGCTAACTGCAAGAAAAATATGTTAAAAAGAATAGTTTATATTATTATCATAAGTGATATTGAAAAGGATGACAAATATTGCATATACTGCGGGTGTTTTAAAGTCAATGACCTGTTTGAGGCTGGTTGTAATCTGGGACCTGTTGTTTCACCTCTAGTTTCATACATTTAGCTGCCATGGTGTGTCGTAGTTTGCTGGACCACGTTTACCCCGTCGTTACCCACTGATGATATGTCTGCAGTCTTGAAGGCCATCCACCATTTTGAGTCTGACACCACCTGTTGTGTACATATTAGGAAATCAACTTGCTGAATAACTGATAAATATCAATAATGCTATTTGAATTTATAAAAGTCTTCATCAGAAGATCTCTTCTTATTTACTGTTACAACAATCTGACAATGGACAGCATTATCAACCTTGAAATTAACTAATAATCTTTAAACAGAATTGGTGGGTGGCCTTTTCTTCCTGTAGCAAGTTTTGATGGTTTTGATTTAGAAATATGCCACAGCATGATACAGCGTACACTTCACTGCTTAAAACAGTATATGTACATTTATAGTTTGTTGTGCTTGGTTTACAAAGTCACACTATTGTTATTTATTTGTTACACCTGTAAATCTATTGTTTGGATGTTCTGCTTGGTAGAAAATATACATTATCTACCTCTTCTGCTTGGTATTTCTATATAGCTGTCTTTGTAATTTTTACTGAAGAATTAAGAAAATTGCCATGGTTTAATTGAAATTTAGCAGAATATGCAGGTCTTTATATTTTGAATTTATTTTTCTCCATAAGTAGATAGTCTTTCTGAGATGGTGATGATGTGTATGTTTAGTAAACATCAATGTATTATGGTTCATCAGCTGACTGTCATTTGGTGGCAGCAGTGAGAACACGACAGACAGAAAACTAACTTCTGCCTCACTGTGGTCTCATTGTGTATTCTGATATGTTAGGTTGATTCTCTTACTGAGAAATATGATAGATTGATATATTACTTCAATCAACTTACACTAACTTGACCAATTTCAGACCAATACAAACTAATTTACTTGACCAAAGTAAGTTTTCCAGTCAGAAAGCTCATTGATACAACTGGCAGTATGCAGTAGCCAAGTTGTTGGACTGATACATACAAAAATTCATGTAGTTTATATGTTTGACTGAATTAATCAGAAAAGTTTCTCGGTATTGCCGGCAAGTTTTTTGAAACTCGTTATTCCATTGATGTTTTGATTCATACTTTTCTATAAAGGTAAAAAAAACAAACTGAAGTATAGAATGTTATAACAGATATTGTTCTCATGTTTGGTTTTAGCTGCTTGTATTATTTACTGCTCTTTGTGCTGTAGACTGTTAGTTATTATCTGCTTAGGAAATCTATTAGAAATTACTACGTTTCTTTTTGAATTGTGCAAGAGAGTTCATAACAGGTATACAACAGATTTTATAGCATTATGTTCAGGATGTTATTATATAGGTATATCAAGTGTTTCATATGACAGAAAATTGTCCATTTCCTCTAATTAGACATAATAAAGATACTATTAATGTCCCACTTAATTCTACCGTGAATAATGTTGCTGGAATCTTTTATTGCAGTTATCTCCCATAGACTGAAGTTTTAAGATTTCAGAATACAAATTGAAAAATAAGTCACCATTTCATAAGTAGAGGATATTTGAATTGAAGAGGTCCTTGTACATAAGATTTTATAATTAGAAACACAAGACTCTGTAAGTTGTGATTTCCTGTGCATGAGACTAGACACGAATAAGTGTGAAATGTTTTCTGTCAAATTATGCTCTACTGTTTAGGCAATTCTGATACAGATCTATTATGTAAAATGCTCTTGATTGGGATTTTGGACAATTAGGTACTCTAGAAAATGACAGGAAAGTCCATATCTTATGAAAGATATTGCTAACAAAATATTCTTTATATCATATGTATTTCACTGGTTAAGAGGTAAGCAACACAATGGACATATATTGTGTAATATCCAGGCATCAGTCTGCTCTGAATCTTTGTGTTGTGATTAAGTTGTTTCTGTTTTATTTTTAACCATAAAAGTCTTGTTCAACAAATTTTCACAAAAAAACACTGATTTCACATAATAATTAAGGGCTTGATTTCAACAGAACAAACCGATTGTTTATAGTATGAATTTTATTGAAGTTTAATTATTATTTTGTCTGAAACAGAATTTCAGTGACTGGAGAAATAAAAGAAGGAGAAAATCTGAAGCACAATTACAAAGAGTCGAGGAAACAGACAAAAGTGTAAAGGAAGAAGAGGAGAAGAGACAGGTGAAAAGCTACGGACAGATGGTGGAAGAAAGGTAAACAAAAATCACCTTGGTTTGACCTTGAATGTGTCAACGCTACAGGTGATCATTGATCACAAACCTGACACTCCGTGCCGTTTTAAGAACATTATAACTCTGTTTCAGGCAATTTTTTGAGACATTGTAATTTTCTGTTCACCTGATTAGTACACTTGTACTCGTAAGCACATTCTTGGAAGGAGGACAAGGTTATTAATTGAAATTGTGTTTGCCTTACATATACACCCAGTCACTAAGTAGAGTGATATTGTTAAAATTTCCATTTTTTTCCTCTTTGAATTGAATTTGTTTTCAATTATAACTCAAATTTTAATGCTTAACATATTTCAAATGGAAACTTTCCTTGTAGATCATTTTACAAATTTCACCATTTGGTCTTTTTCAAATCTGATATAGTGTATTTATTTGGTAAAGTATGGTATATTTATACATTGCTTTGATAAACCTGTTTCTGAAATGTCCTTCCAATAAGTTAGCTACTGGAAAAAGTAAACACAACTGGCCTGATTGATTCTGTAGTCCATCAATATAATGATATAATTATTGAGTAACTCAGTGTCTACTTGCTGTAGTCTGTCGAGGTGTGTACAGATCCACTTTCTATAATACTGTTTACATTAGAATTCAAACCATTTGTTTCACTGTTCCTAGTCTTTCAAAGTTGCTTTTGATTATTACGTGAGATGTAGATTACTTTCATAAAATAAGATATAATTGTCAAAAGAAGAATTCACCAATCAAATTCTTTGTGAGTGAAGTATATTATACAGAATGAGAATGTCATTTTAAAGCCTTATTTCCTTTATGTACTCTCTTTGGGCAAATGAAATCTAATAAACCAGTGTAGATCATTTGAAGTGAGAATTAAATGTGAATGCATTTTTTCCATTAGTTATAAATAACTGTATATACAACATAATAAAGATGAAATTTTACAATTTACAAATTTCATAATTGTGAATGTATTATAACAGGGAGAGGAGAAAAAGCACAGGAACATTCCTGAAGAAACCAATGTCCTTTTACCCTGTTGACGATAATGATGACCTCTTCACACCTGTAAAGGTTCCATCCAGCGCAGCTCCGGTAGAGGAAAAAGTGGAAAAAATATCAGCTCCCAAAGTCGAGGCATCTTCACGTGAACGTACAAAGGCTCCAATGCTGTCATCCAAGGATAGACCAGTATGTGTCAGATTGTCTCCCCCTAGGTGTAATACACTGTTATGTGGTATAATAAAATATATCTGATTGTTTTAATGCTCTATTTATAGTAACTGGATTCAGATTATCCTGAGGCAACTGTGACCTAGTTAATGTTTGTTTCTGTAATTGTAATTAAGTTAAATCATTCATACCTACTCATTAAACACCAACATGTAGTTGATTTAAGGAACATCCTCTCGTTACACAGATACTAATCAATCCAATAAAGTTTATTATTGTATTTATATTCGGCAATAGGTAAATCAGGTGAAAAGTTCACCCAAACCATTTGCCTTAAAGTCTAATTATAACCAACAAATGCTAATTATTAAATATCCTGTAATAAGGCTCGACACTTGGAGTCAATGGTTTGGCCCTCTCAGGATATGTATTAGAGGAAGGGGTTAGGCTGAGCACCAGCTTAAACAGGAGATATGATTCACCATCATTTTTGGTACAGTTTAGTTTCCTATATATATATGTTTGCTCTAGGTCCTCAATTCTCTATTTGCTCATTGGACATCATTAAACCACTTGATAAATAATTAAATGAAAATGTAGTTGTCACTCCGTATGTATTCTGAGTCCAGGAGGCCCACACACTATATCTTACTCAGGGGATGGGGGTATTATCAAACAATATTGGTTCATGATTTTCATGCAGCAATAGGTTAAGCTGTGTGGGTGGTTTGTTGGCACAGTTGTAATGTACTTGCCTTTCACCTACCTGTCTGGGATTTGGTTCCTGGAACGGACGTGAAAAGGTAAGGGGTCCCCGAATACTCTTGTTTCCTCCCACAATACACCTCTTATGTTCTTACATTCATGCTAACGAAAGTGATTGATATAAGCTGAAAACTTTGTTCGCAATTGTTGTGAAATAAAGTTTATAGTTATTTATTCAGCTGTACTTACCAGCATACAGGGGCTTTTTAACAAAGAATAAGGAAATTATTCTTTGATTGTGACATGTTTGTTAATTTATTAATGCAAATAATGATACAACAATACTTTTTTTCATTTCAGAGCTCCCTTGGTGGTGATGGTACCTATATACATTATGACGACACAAGGAGAGCATCATGGGCTGCTAGTGATTCAAGTGATGAAGAGTCAAACAAGAAAGATAACTCTGTGGAATCAGAAAGATTACAGGACACCAGTGTCCACGAAAGTAGAAATAAAGAAAAGTCAACTACAAGGAAAAGTGTGTTAGATAGTGATTCTTCGTGGAGGAAAGACTCTACACCACAAAGGAACTCAGGATTATCAGGTCCTCCTGTTAAATCCATTGGAAAATTATCAAATTTGTTAAAAAGCTTTGAACAGAAGGAAGAGGAAGCAAAAGTAGATTATTCTAAAGTGAAAAAATTTAGTGACATGAACAAGGATTATTCCAGATCAGGACTATCAAAATCTTTTGATCTTCCAAGTTCTAGTTTTAGTTTTTCTGCAAAGGATAAAGCAGAGACAACACCTGTGAGATCAAGGATTACAGATAAAACGGTTCCCGTGCCAACTAAGGTTCGTAAGACTTGTTTTATAAAAAATTTTATTTCTTTATTTTTATAGATAAGTGATTTAAAGTACAGTTGAAATCATCCTTACATGTAATTTCAACTTTGTTGCATTATTATATCACATCTTTTCCATAGTGCACTATAATACTGATGTCACATTATGCAGTGTAGAAAACAGCTAGAAAACTGAAAGACAACTTTTTTCCTCCAGAATATGTTCACAATATGAATTTGTACATGTGTGTATGTGTTTTTTTTTTAAGTCTTTAAGTCCTGGTTGTTTCATGGTCAGGGGCAATTATTGTATTACATTAAATTTTTGTTTGTCATTCTATCGTTCCATCAAAATTTAGTTTAATTTCCACTTCTAAAACAGATTCAGATATAAAATTGTAATTTGGGATGTTAGGTTTAAGTTGTATAATGTACCAGTCAACTTTTTGATTCTGTGTAGGTCAGTAAATTTTGACCATTTGACTTAAGAAATTTAATTAAAAGTTTCATCAAAGTTTTAAGACCAATATTTGAGAGCATTGTCTCTTGATTTGTTGTCCTTATTGACTTTGTCAGCTGTACTCTGCAACATGGTTTCTCATGGTTTAGTTACCATTGTTTTTCATGACCGACAATCACTGCTATCATCCAAACTACGCATGGTTTCCATGGTTTCCATGGTTACCATGGTCTCATTTTGCAGAAGGAATAGAACTTAAAAGCAGCTATGCATGGTTTGCCAATTTAAAACCTCAAAATCAGTTATGGAAACGAAGTTATAGACTTAACTATTCATAATGCGATCACAGTCTGTGTTTAGTGTTATCCTGATGTAATTTCTGGCTCATTATTTTGGAAAATTGTTGAAAAATTGGGGATGATTATGTGAGCCATAGATTTTATATACAATTGTTTTGCAGGCATCAGTGGAAAAAGCAATAAAGATTAGTCAGAAACCAAACAATAAAAAAGGATTTGGATTTGTGATATCAGGCGGTGCTGATAAACGAGAGCCAGTCACAGTACAAAAGGTCTCACTCGGTACGTATGGGAGTCTTATGTTCATATCTAACTAGAAGACAACAAAGTCAATAATACAAAGGGTCTCAATTAGATTTGTGATTATTTTCTTTCTTAGATCTAAAAATGATTAAATCAATTCAAGGTCAAGGGCAAGGTTATTGTGTTAAAGGTCAAGAAATCAAAACGTTCCTCAAGGCCAAACTTTCAGCTTGTGTTAACAGGAAGTATCACGTTACAACATACATGTACATTAAAAGATTCACATCAAGTTGAGATTGCAGACATAGTGAAGATTTCATTCTTCATTGTTGCTGACTGTTAAATGTTTACAGGAAGTGCAGCTGATGTGTGTGAAGTTCAACAGAATGATAAGATACTGGCTATAAATAAACGAGACATCTCCTCACTGGCTCATGCCCAAATCCAGAGACTGATTGATGAAGCTGTCCGTCATGGTCAGATTGAACTCAAGGTCAAACGCAGTATCAGTGATGGAGGTGAGGTTAAATTCTTGTCCAGTTTGTAAGATAAAAATGACATTTTAATGACCTGCTGTTGGTTAATCATACAAATGATAGTTTTGAGGTGAATCTGAAGTTGACAATTTTAAGGATTCTTTCCAACAAAAAAAAACAATAACCAAAAATCATTTACCCATATGCACTACTTTGGCTGAGGCTGATCTGTTCAAGGTTATGATACTGTCTGTAACTAAACAGAAAGGCACTGTACTTAGCTTGTTATATCAGTAAAACTAAGGGAATATTGCGTTTGATGCTGTAGAAAATATTTTATTGGTCAATATTTAAACAAGATGATTTGTACTCTACATATGTATCTGTTACAAAATGTAAATCATTTCTGATCGTCACAATCATCTAAACTTATAGTGCTTGATAACGTTGTAGTTTGGTAAAGTAAAGCCCATGGTAAAGTGAAACACGGTTCAATTCTCCATTATGGTGAAATGGACCCCTCAATGGTAAAGTAAAGCCCATGGTAAAGTGAAACACGGTTCAATTCTCCATTATGGTGAAATGGACCCCTCAATGGTAAAGTAAAGCCCATGGTAAAGTGAAACACAGTTCCTAAATTTCCCTATCCTGGTTATTTTTAGTTTTGTTATGCTTGGAGGAACTTATTAAACAAAATAACAAGAAATTAAGTGAAGAAACATCGATTGAGGGTTCATTTCACCATTATGTATTTTAACCTCGGTTCATTTCCCCATGCTTCACAATACCATGCTACATTGGTACTATCTAAAAAGGGAATGAAATGGACAATTTTTATGATACGTTATAAGTTAGAAATCTTTCCTGCATTCGATATCAGATGTTACATACTGTAAATAGCTTATAGTTTTTGTGGAATTTATTTTCGCGTTAATATCTAAAGTGAGTCTTTACATATTCAGATCCCTTGTGGTTTTTTGTAGGAGAAAACTCTTGATGATGTCAATGCTGATTTATTTTCTGATATTTATCTAATAACCTATTATTCACAAATTTAAAGTCATTCCTAGATCACTATTTGACAAATCACGTATTCGTGAACATGTCTGAAAAGTTTAGTGAAATAAAGTATTGAAGAAATCTGAGTGATTTACAGTATATGGTCAGAAAATGATAAAATATGATGCCCTTATCAACAGATAACCATCACCACAGAATTTGTCTGGTGTTGTCAGCTTCCTGGCAGCCATATAATCTATAATAATGTCTTACTTTACCTCCAAAGTCTGAAGAGTTTCATAGTAATCTGTGATAAAAGCCTGTAGATGTGTTTATAAGGCTATATATCTCAAACAGAAACCCAATACCTGTAGCAGTTAGGTGACCTAAATATGCTATCAGAAGAGACCTTTAATGGGCTGCTGGTCACATTTCATCACTGAAACCTGACATACAGTAGACCATAAAGCAAACAAATAGAATCTAGGGTAAAATTAGAATTTAACTTTTAGTGGATAATGGTATCCGTTCAGCATCATCAATTCTCAGGTGTATACCTTTTGAAGTTGGAGCTTGTTTGTTAGAAGCAGGTGATGTTTACTAATTTACTTCCAGTGGGTTCACAGGTTTTTATCTACATTCTTTGAATTTTTGTTATTTTCATCATTTCACTCCTGTCAAACAGGTATAACTCTCTAAAATGATGTTAATGTAAACATTTATAGGGACGGGTTATTTAAATCTTAAATAACAATTTAACACAAAAGACCCATGTCTGAATGACAGATCTAAGGACACTTACAAATCTTTAAAAGATATATTGATTTATTTTCTGATAATTCCATAACATATTTTATTGATAATTTCAAGAGATGACTTCATCAGCTAAATTAGATTTTGGATTACTGAAGTTCAGAGTTCAAGGTCATGTAGTCAGTCTTTATTACCCAATTTAGGAGGTCTGAATTGCGGTCAAATTTTTCTAGGTGTGATTTGATCGAAGGATGAAGTTATTCAGTTAGAAGTTTGTTTTTTTTTTATGATAAATCTTACTTGTTAAAATGTCATTTCTGAATTTCAAAATTTAAAAAACGTTCAATTGAAATGCTAAAATATATGCTTTATCATTGATCTGTAATAGTGGAATTCCTCTGCACCTTTGTCAGCCACTGGGCTTATTATAGGAAACACATGGTAGTAGAGGAAGACTGACTTTGTGAATCAAGGTAAGGTAGGGTTCTCTTTATGTGATAAAAAATCCTTTCAGTACATATTTGTGAATACCTTCCATTCAGATGATGAATATGATGAGGAGGAGGATAGCGCCTTTATTACACAGTCCCCAACATCTCCTATTCCAAAGCTGTCGTCTGCTCTATCACCACGGACACGTGGCTCTTCAGGGTCTTCCACCTCCTCTACTGGCCATAACTCCAGGGTCAAGTCACCCACTGGGTATGTGAGCCCATTGTCAGGGGACAAATATGGAAGTGCCACTCGGACAGAAAACCGTTATGGTTCCGTGTCACCGGTACGATCACAAAGAACACGCAATCAATCCCCAAGTGCTGCCAAACCTGAATCATATCGCCGGAATGCTTCGCCTGTTGAAAACAGGAATATCAACTCGTCTTCCACAGAGACCAGTTACAGAAGTGGTTCACCCTCACTGAACCAGCACAGTTACAGAAGTGGTTCACCCTCACTGAACCAGCACAGTGGTTTATTACCTAGAGAAAGTTCTCCACTAGGCAGTAGAAGTACACCAGACTCAGCTTCACTAACTTGTAGTGATCCGTCACCTGTAACAACCAGGAACACATTTACCCAAGAGGACAGGACAGGGTCACCTCTACAGAGGTCATCTCCATTGTTCAAGTCTCCTTCAGAAAGTCCCAGCGGGCCTTCAGATAGCAAGGTAGGCTACACTCCACAATAGTCAGGACAGTCACTTAGGGAGTGATGATAAAACGGACTCAATCTTTGTTCCCTTATGGGACCCAGGTCACACAATACGTATGTATGCTGATTCAGATGGTTGTGATTTCAGCATCAAATGCATTTGATGTTTTTTTTCTGTTGTTTTTATAGGAATATTTATTTTAAGGAAAATTGCATATATTTTTTTAAAAACTTAACTTATCTGACAATCTTTGTAAATCAGTGATCATAAAAAAACATCATCAAAGATATCCTGTTTTAATGAATATTGTTTACTGGAATACAAGCAATATTTATTTCATTAAAATAATTCTATCTGTATCAGTTTGATTAACATTTATCCTCAGATATTCCACTTTTGTTGATACTTTCTCTATCATTTATTGAGATGTGTTGAGTTGTAATGTTTTCTTAATTCTCAGGTTTAACTACTTCAATCTTTGTTTTCCATACTTCAGGATAGCAGTATACCAAACATCTATTTGTATTATAAATACAGTCCACATGTAGTCGTACTAAGAAATGTTAGTTTATGTAAACAAATCTATTGAAAGAGATTACATTACGTATAGAGCTCATGAGTTACGAGAATATGAGTATAGTACTGAAATTCACAATTAGATATCTGCATATCTATCTTTTATAAGTAAATCTAAATATTTAATTAGATGGTGTTTTTTTTATTTCAGATCTACTTTTCTAGCACAGAAAAATCAAGGCTTGAGGAGGAAACTAACAACAATGACATCAAGGTCAACGATTATATTAAGGTGGGTATCATCAAGTTCAAAGGTCAGTTTATCAATGTCAATCTATAGGTGTTGATGAAGGTCAAGGTCACTGCAAAGATGAATTTCAGCAAGGTCATAATGTCAGAGTTCTTATCATCAGGGTCCAAGGATTGCAATGCTGTAATGTGTTACCATAAAAATCAGCTTTTAATAGAACCATATATACATTGTTATTGTTGACAGCATGGTTACATGATAACTTATCTTGGCGTAAATTTATAACTTATACAGTAATGGTAAGAAATTTAATTTACAACTAATTAAAAAAGCTTCTTTAATTGTTATGTTGATTTTCTGTGCAGGGTGAGTTCATTAAAAGTTCCAGTCCTGTGGGCAATGGAAATGTTGTTGACGAGACAATTACACCTGTCAGAAAGGAAAAGGATTTCAGCAGCCCAGTCCAACATGATGTGATGTCATCGCAGAAAGCACCAGAAACAGAAATAACCCCTAAACAGGAAGTGACGATTTCCACTCGGGAAACAATCACAGTAAAGAAAAATGATCCACCAGGTAGAGAAACCTAACATAGATTAATTGTATCACAGTTAAGGACAGCTGATCATAGGACTTATATTTATTGGAAATAGTACAATTCTCCAAAGGAAGCAAATCTTATGAAAAGGATTGTTTTTACTGATTTTTCATTCATTGTGCCAGTAAAATAAATTTTGACATGTTAAATCTTGATGTTACAGAGGTAAAAAGTAGCCATAAGTGGGAGCCCCATGCGTCCCCTCCTGTCAGTACATCTCCTCCTCCAGTTGTTGAGGAAGATGATGGAGGTGGACCCCCGGCAATCCTTCGGCGTTGGCAACAGAGGAAGCCTCGTCCCCAATCAGCCTATTCTGCTTATCCAGCATTTGAATCACCCAAAGAGGAAAAGAGATTGAGTGCTAATTATCCCTGGGAGTCTTCCATTATCGACAAAAAGGTAAAACTGTTGAAATTTATCGTTATTTTCCTGCAATAACATAGTTTAAGTGAATAAAATCACCCCTCAAAAATCTGATTGCTTAATTTACTGTAAGATTTAAACTATTACAATCTTTTGACTATATTACAGAATGATACAGAACAGGAAGTAGAATCGCAGGTAATCAAACTAGACCACCAGGAGAATAACTCGATGCCACCGCCAAAGACACAAGTAGGTCAACCAGTCACGCTGGAAATTCCTGACCACACAGAGCCTCAAGCCAAGAAAACTTCCATTCAAATTGCTTCATCCCATAACCCAGGGCTGCTTCAGATTGACCCTAGAAACCAGATGACTGAAAAGTATGTACATTAAGAGTCTTCATTATAAATATACTAGTGTCTTATACCTCTGAAAGCTTCAATTATTAAAGTAATGGCATTTTCTCGCACAGAAAAATATTGAAACTAACATATATTGTAATATCTTATTATTACATGTTTATCCACAAATATATTCCTGGAGCAAGGGAAACAAAATACCTCTATCTTATGGTTTTGGGGTGGGCTTATTACAGGACATTTAAATATTTGTTCGTCATTCTGTTTAACAATGATATGAATGACTGGGCAGTAGTTACGTGACTTGACACTCATATCACATTCGTATTTTGTTTGCAGTGATAATAATTTACCAGAGTACAGCTTCCATGTTAGTCTCAACAAACAGCAAGAAGCAAGAACATTTGCAAGCCCAGGTAAGGTTACAGTATAGTAAACAAAGGGAGATAATTCTTTATAGATTGCTGGGAAGTCATTTTAGCTCATTTATGTTCAGGCTTGAACAAAGAAAGTCTTCTTATATGCTAAGTGAAAATTGAATCCTTGATATGAATATCAAATTTGATAGACTAGAAAATTTATGGGAAACAATTTAGTCCACTGAGAAAAAAAATAGCAACAGCTTATTACCAAATAAAATGTGGAAAAGCAAACTAAAAAAATACAGTGGTTTTCATGATTCCAAGAAATCTATTATTTGATACACTATACAGAATATTACAAATCAGCACTCATTAAAACTATTGGATCTGTATACTCATGAAATGGGATATTGTTGTGAAACTTTCTTGGAGATTGTAGTACAGTATTTAGATATTTTTGTATCTTATGTTTTGAATGTTATTTTTTTTTTCAGATATGATTGAACAAGAGCGTGAGTTGATTAGACAGGAGGAACAGCAGGTTTTAGCCGCAGAGAAAAAACAATGGGAGGAAGAGGAGACTAGGAGAATTAGAGAAAAGGAGGAGGAGTTACAGAGACAGGCAGTACGTAGCCTTATCAATAGTTAACCATAAAAACAAAGATCCATGGGTCAAAAGTCATTCTAGGGTCAAATACAGGAGTCAGGCAGTATGTAGCCTTATCAATAGTTAACCATAAAAACTAAGGTCATGGGTCAAAAGTCATTCTAGGGTCATACACAGGAGTCAAAGGTCATCTTAGGCTCAATGGTTACCCTGTTCCTAAGAGTAAGACAGAGCTAATCTATGGCTTAATTGTATTGAAGAAATCATATGACTTGTGTCAAATACACTGAAAAATTTATTTTATTTCTTAATGCAAATTGATGTCATTCAGATGAATCGAAAGTGGCCTAAAAATGGAAGTTAAAAAAAAGTATTTTTTCACTCTTTTTGTTTTTGTTGTTTACAGTTTTCATTTTGTTTTGATGAACACAGATGTTTTATATTTATGTTCAGATGCTGTAACATGTCTGTGTAATATGATATAACATTATTATTTTATCTGATTTTAGGAGATGTTACGACTAGAAAAAGAAAAACTTAAACGAGAACAAGAACGTATGCAAAAGGAGAGAGAAGAATTAGAACGCAGTCGTAAAAAACAATTGGAAACGAAAGAAAATAGACCAGAGACAAAAATCTCTCACCACAACAATAACCCAAAGTCACAATTTTCAACCTCTGTAAATACAGATAGCAAACAATCACTTCGAAAACTCGATCTAACATGGCCACCTCAAAAAGAGGAACCTCCACCGAGGCAAAAACTTACACGGGAAGATATGTTAGCTATGAATAGGAGAGCTACACCCCTACAACGCAAACCTGAAATGGAGGTCAACTCCACTGAACCTTCGAAAACAAAAGATTTCACTTCTAGAGATGTACCAACCAAAAATGACCTTCACAATCTTACTGCTGTTCCTAAACCAAAGTACCGATCTTCCAGTAACTGGATGAAAGAAGATCCACAACCTCTAAAGACAGTTTCAAAAGCAAGATCTGACAATAATAGATCTAGTCCTAATTTACACGAACACTGGCTAGTAGAGGAAGCCGAACGGCGGCGTAAGGCAACAGCCAATCAAAATTCTCACGGCGCGATTCAACCAGGGTCCGACGGAATCGTAAATCGCTGGCGTGATGATTCCTTCTTGCCAAAGCAACAGGCATCTATTAATGCACAGGGAAGTAATTTAACGCAACCAAGATCATTGTCTAGCAATGTGAGTCACAATCATGGACAAGATAATCGCCAGTACATCCCCGCATCACAGAATACAAAAGCTATGTCTCAAACATTACCGCAAAACTTCAACTACAGTAGTCTGAGCCCCAAAAACCGTGGTGATCCCTATGCTCCTCCAAAGCCAACACGAAACTCCAGTTCATCAACAACATCATCTATCTCGTCCCCTTCATCTCCACTCAATCCTTCAGAGCAGTTCATGGCTGTCAGTGGTAAACAGGCCTGCTCATATTGTAGCCAGGAACTTGGTAAGGCATATTTTCAAATGTCTTTGAAATTTTTGCTTTTTTCGTCTCTGTAATTTTTGCTTTTTTCGTCTCTGTAATTTTTCGATCTCAGTTCTAACTAAACAACCTTTTACATATGCAACCGTGGTAAATATTCACTACCGTTTACCACTTGGCTGAAGAGATCTTTTCAATTTGATGAGTTGAGTGCAAGACTGGTAAGCTAGGGGTTGCAGTTTGAAATCCTAAACAGACTTTTCATTTAAATTACAGTAATATGAAATATCCTCATTGATTTGATGGGTAGATTTGACAAAACCCTTTACAAAACAAAACAAAATTATCTGTTTGTCAATAATGTAAGTTATTGTGAAATTTATTTCTTTGTAACGGTGATCTATTAATTTTTTTCCACAATAACCAAATACAGTGTTCCTAAAAACTTTTTACTTAGAATGTGTATAGAATTGTACTGGATTCATTCAGTTTATTAACTAATTTTCATTCATACCCCAGGTTTTGGTGCTGCCATGGTGATTGAATCCCTCGGTTTGTATTACCATGTACAATGTTTCCGATGCTGTGTGTGTCACACTGCCCTAGGCAATGGGTCCCAAGGGGCTGACGTACGAGTGCGGGTCAACAAACTTCACTGTCGGAATTGCTATAGTAACGATGAAGGTATCTTGTCCTACTGGGGATGGTATTGAGTGTCTGTGCTGGATTTTTATTACCATGTGGTTTTTTAACATGTGACAAACATGAAACAAACAAAAAAAACTTCTTTCTTTTTCAACAGAGACGTGATGTTCCTGTATTTTTGGGGTTTACTTAAAGAAACTGATACCATTTTCTAGAGGAGATATATTGTTCCTTAACATCAGCTGTTGGAGGTATAAACAAGTCTGACAGCCATGTCTGGATTTTAAAAAAAAGTGCTGTTATGTATAACTGGTGGTTTGACAGATCACATGTATATATTGTATGTGTTCTGACTAAGCCGATGTTTATATACATGGATTTATACAAGAGATATTTACTTGGATTATATATTATTCAACCATATGCTGATTGAAATAAATAGCCCTGAATAATTGTGATAGTTTGATTTAGAAATTTACATAAAAAAGTAATGGTTCTTCACAGGGGGATAGGGGGTCAAGCCAGCAAGGAGTGGGAGTGGGTGTCGGAGGAATATTCACTGGAACCTCATAAACCCCTCCACATATTTAAGTCACATTTATGTTTTATTATCAAAGTATTAAGTTCTATACTTCATCAGATTCTTACAGGCAAAGGTCAGGTCAAAAGTCACAGTTCACCAGGGTTTTATTTGAAAATTTTGTACAAGAAATCTCATGAATAACAACATAGTTTCATAACATCCAGTTCTTTCATCTGATCAGATATTGATGAACAATATGGGTTATCAGGGAGTTGGAATACAACATCTATACATCACAGCTGTCTATCTATCTGATAATTTGTCTTCATGATCAACTGACCATGTCTACATAGACACAGCTGTCTATCTATCTGATAATTTGTCTTCATGATCAACTGACCATGTCTACATAGACACAGCTGTCTATCTATCTGATAATTTGTCTTCATGATCAACTGACCATGTCTACATAGACACAGCTGTCTATCTATCTGATAATCTGTCTTCATGATCAACTGACCATGTCTACATAGACACAGCTGTCTATCTATCTGATAATCTGTCTTCATGATCAACTGACCATGTCTACATAGACACAGCTGTCTATCTCTCTGATAATCTGTCTTCATGATCAGCTGATCATGTCTACGTTGACACAGCTGTCTATCTATCTGATAATCTGTCTTCATGATCAACTGACCATGTCTACATAGACACAGCTGTCTATCTATCTGATAATCTGTCTTCATGATCAGCTGATCATGTCTACATAGACACAGCTGTCTATCTCTCTGATAATCTGTCTTCATGATCAGCTGATCATGTCTACGTAGACACAGCTGTCTATCTATCTGATAATCTGTCTTCATGATCAGCTGATCATGTCTACGTTGACACAGCTGTCTATCTATCTGATAATCTGTCTTCATGATCAGCTGATCATGTCTATGTTGACACAGCTGTCTATCTATCTGAAGTAATCACCTATCATGACCCAGTATTCTTGGGTGTCTGTTACATTCTTATTTATTATCTTGTTCATCATAGGACTATTTTTCGAAACGTTATGTATTAGTTGCTACTTAAGGGATTGTATGTCTTAAAAGCTATGTTTCTTAACTGCCAAGTCTTAATGACTGAACATTGTACTTATTGTGTCTTAGCGGCCATTTTCCTTGGTTCCCATGTCCTAGTTCCCATCAATTTTGATAACCAACTCAACCATTCCATGATCTTTAAATCATTAATTAAGTAGTGTCCATTACCTTACTGTAGCCTAGGCCTACTGACACTTTCCGTCAAACTTTATATAACGATAGCGGACATTCTATAGAAACTAACACCTGCTAACACAATTGCTTTTGGTTTATATTTATAGTCTATGTACTTTAAATCGCTATACAACGGGAAATTATAGCTGGTGTAGTGTTCATGTCCTCCATTGGTGTTGTAGATATTTTCAACTCAATAAATTTACTTCATAAATTATGTCTCATGTTGCCGCCAATTTTTTTCTGATTCAAAGTCAGACAAAGAAGAACCATGTTGTATCAGGGCTACAGCCTATATAGTATACACTGGAAATGTTTATTCAAACAAAGTATTTTGCCCTATGTTAAGGAGTTAATAGACACGCATTGTTGGAATTATTTTGTATGATTAGCATTGTCAGTCTGCAGACCTAATGTTATCTGCTTCAGTGTGTCTGTCTATCTGCCCATAGAATCTAATTTGTCTGTATTGTGTCTGTCCAAAGACACAGTCTAATGTGTCTCTTAGGGTGTAAGTCCATTTGTCCATAGACATATTTTTTCATTTTGTGTTTCAGAATATATAGGATCAAAAAATTTATATCAAAGTGTGATATAAGGTCAGTGATAACATCAGTATTGTTATAAAGCTTGCTCTTTTGTTAGATTAAAGCTAGGTCTGGTTAGATAAAAGCTGGGTCTGGTGTGATATAGTTAGGTCAGGTGTGATATATCTAGGCCAGGTGTGATATATCTAGGTCGGGTGTGATAAAGCTAGGCCAGGTGTAATATATCTAGGTCAGGTGTGATATAGCTAGGTCATGTGTGATATATCTAGGTCAGGTATGATATATCTAGGTCAGGTGTGATATAGCTAGGTCAGGTGTAATATATCTAGGTCAGGTGTGATATAGCTAGGTCAGGTATAATATATCTAGGTCAGGTGTGAAATAGCTAGGTCAGGTGTAATATATCTAGGTCAGATGTGATATAGCTAGGTCAGGTGTGATATAGCTAGGTCAGGTGTGATATATCAAGGTCGGGTGTGATACAGCTAGGTCAGGTGTGATAAAGCTAGGTCAGGTGTAATATATCTAGGTCAGGTGTGATATAGCTAGGTCAGGTGTGATATATCTAGGTCAGGTGTGAAATAGCTAGGTCAGGTGTAATATATCTAGGTCAGATGTGATATAGCTAGGTCAGGTGTGATATAGCTAGGTCAGGTGTGATATAGTTAAGCCAGGTGTGACTTAGCTAGGCCAGGTGTGATATAGCTAGGTCAGGTGTGATATATCTAAGCCAGGTGTGATATAGCTAGGTCAGGTGTGTATACAAGTCATCTATGATATAATTAATGGTCAGGTCATGCTAAAGGAAGGATGCCCCCAGAATTTGCTTTAGATCTGTATAATTGTGAGGACATAAGACTAGGTTGTCACATGACTTAACAGTAGACAAGACTAAATGAAGTTATACTGAAGAGCATGGCATTGTGAGGTCATCTTATTTTGCTTTAACCAGGCTAAGTTTGAAGTAATATAAAAGACCAGGGCATCATCAATTATTGCTATAGACTAGACTTATGTGAAGTCATACCAAAGACCAGGGCATCATCAATTATTGCTATAAACTAGACTTATGTGAAGTCATACCAAAGACCAGGGCATCATCAATTATTGCTATAGACTAGACTTATGTGAAGTCATACCAAAGACCAGGGCATCATCAATTATTGCTATAAACTAGACTTATGTGAAGTCATACCAAAGACCAGGGCATCATCAATTATTGCTATAAACTAGACTTATGTGAAGTCATACCAAAGACCAGGGCATCATCAATTATTGCTATAGACTAGACTTATGTGAGGTCATACCAAAGACCAGGGTGTCACTGATTTTTAGCTCACCTAGGCCAGCTGCAGTTTCTGTCGTCCAGTGTCTATCAACTTTTACTTTATATTGCAACTACTCATGAACAACTGAGCAGACTTGAATTGAATTTGGTCTGAAGCATCTTTGGGGAAAAGGGAACCTTTTGTTGACTTAAATATCCAGATGAGCAATATATGCCTTTTGGACCTCTTGTTTCTATAAACTAGAGCTAGTGTGAGGTCATACTAAATACCAGTTCATCATCTGATATTGCTATCAACCAGACTAAGTGTTAGGTTATACTGAAAACCATGGTGTCATTTATTTTGCTTTAAGCCAGACCTAAGTGTGAGGTAATACTAAAGACAGTGGCATAATCCGATACTGGTATAGACCATAGAATTTATATGTTACAGGTCGGAGCCGTAGAGGACGACATTCCTAGCAATCTCTGTGTATGTAGTCTATAGTGACAACATTGTTTAGTCTGATTGATAATTTCTGCTTTTTTCCTGCTGGGAATATTTTGGTTTGCTTTGTTTGGTAGCTTACATGATGTTTTACATAACCTGCTGTTTTTGACGAGTGATTAACTCTAAAGTTTTCTGATACAATGTATAATCTTTTAAGATAGATTTGACTGTTGATCCAGATTTATCAATATAAATTTCTGTTTTTATTGCAGTATGAATCCAAAAAGATGAAAACACAAGTAGTCGCTTTCTAGATCCTACATGTTGTTAGTATTAGATTTCTGTCCATACTTTTAGATGTGACTGGGTTTACGCTAGCTATTTCTGTTATTTCGTCCATCCATCATCACTCCATCTATCTGTCAGATTCTGTTTCTTTGCAGTTTGAATTAGAATGATGGAGTGCTACGTTCTGAAATGAATTTAGTCAGAGCAATGGATTATATCATGTGTTGTACTTTTAAGTCATCTTGACCCTTCTTTTCAATAACTGAAAGGCCAAGGGTCTTGATAATGGGCCTGTAATTTGCTTTTTCAACATGCATGTATAAAGAATAGGATTTTGAGTTAGCAGAAAATGTCTTGATGAACCAACAATGTCTTCTGTGTAAACTGTAGAGTAGATGAGCTATTTATTTTAAGCCTATTTTGCCTCTTTCATATATAGGTCTTTATAGGCAGATGACCGTTAAGGCTCATAGGCCTCTTGTTATTGTTTCCTTAATAAGTGCCTAAGAATATGTTTCCTTATATGTCACTATAGTCAACAGATTCTAGGTCTGCTCATCAACTTTTGAAATTGGTCGATAGTATTTAAAGCAGATGTAACAAAACGTGTTCCTGAGGTTGTATTATGCTGTCTACAATTAAATTTTGTCAAATTGTTTTCATTAGATTAATCATTTTTTCACAATACTTTTTAATGTTTATTTTATAAAGATGATAGATCAGTTAATTCGACTTCAGGTACTTCTTTGTGAAAAATTGTTATTAAAGATAGCAATAACTGTGTTTCAGGATCGAACATATATAAAAACTGGAGTAAACAATGTTTAAGTCTCAAAAGATGGTATTTTGATCAGAAGTATTCATTAAAAGTGCTATCTCTAAACCTCAATGAATTTATTGGAAATAATTTACAAAAGGATTTATCAGACTGAAAATACATAAGAACATGTTATTTGAGTTATCTATCTTCCGAGAGTGGCAAGTCCTATGTAGACTGTTATGCTCATAAATGAATGATCAGACAATTACAGATCTGTATAAATCCAACGAGATCACATGGTTTACTCAGGACTGCTTAGTTTTAGCTCCACAGGTAGACTGGAACAAACTGTGACAGTCAGATGTATATAGTAAGCTTTCTGTTGACTTTACAGGCTTAAAGACTTGATTTCAGGTCAAAAAGTGTATGTATTATTGACTTACATCCATTGTTGTCCAGTTTTAAATCCTTCCACAATATCTTTACAAATCAGATACAAGTAAAACAAACATTGAAAAATCTAAATAAGCTCGACTTATTTTAACTGCAATGAACTTAATTAAAGAAGAAATTGGACTATTGTCTTCCAAGGAATGCTGAAACATTATTTAACATATTTTTCATCCTTTTATGGAAAGTCCTTTTGAATCAGTCACCATTAAGAAAAGGAACTCTTCATAGCTATGATTTGAAGGAACTGTAGATGACTGTGAATACATTCTCTTTGAATGAATGAATTCCTATGTAATCAAGATATAAGGGAGATGTGTCCTTTCAATTGACCGCTGTAAAAGTCTACTCCTCCAGATAAACATCTCAATAATAACACAGTAACCAAATACCATGCAGTTTTATTCTAGTACCCTCTCTGGGATGTTCTGGTGGTACTGGTTTGGCTTGAAACACAATTCATTACTTTGATGTTGAGAAGTTTTAGTGTTTTGCTAACATGTTTCACTAAAAGACCAATATGAGTTCATTTTGAGCATGGGTTTCCATATAACAAACCAACAATATGACAGTTGAGCATGAGTTGATGAAAAAACTGAAAAGTTGTTTTAAATGTTTTACTTAACTGATGACTGTATTCTATGATGTAAATATGTTTAATACTCTGCACACAACATGTTATTGGCATGCTCACATTTACAGCTTAAATGTACTAATATGAATTAAGAAAATATGATAGTAAATGACAGATGTTTTCTATAGCCTAACTGTAAGATCCCTTTATATATTTAAATACCTAAGATTATTTGCAGACATTTGTAAAATAAAAGTTTCACAATTTTACACATTCACAAATATCAGTTTCAACACTGAATAATCTTTATCGCTTAATGACCATAATTTCTTAATGTGAAAATGTGTGTGGTTTAATTTTTTTGGTTTGTTCTGACAAAAAAGGAAACAGGTGTAATTTATGTTTGTAATGCAAGTCATTGTTGTACCTTGTCATATAAAAAAACAAGAATCTTAAGAAATGGAATTCCACAAATTGTAATTTTTCATGTAAATTTTTGTAATTTTTAACCAACAAAACATAAATTTCTCTATCAATTTTATCTTTTGAAAATTGGCAATGATTAATGTATTAATAGATATTTTTAGAATTTCTGTAAAATCATTTTTTATTTTATTTCACACTTGAATGCAATGCTTGTATTTAAAACTGTGTTTCATTTTGATTAATGAACTTTTTCTCTTGCTTGCAGCTGGATTGAAGTTCAGCAAAGTGTGACAACAGCAGAATATCCCTAAATGTAGAAGAAATGATCACCATGACAACCAACTTTTCATAACAGCCTTCCATTTACCAAACAATGCATGACTCAATACCTTGTAATGAATTATTGTTGGACTCTGTAACAAAAAGTGCCTATGTTATTATTTCAGAGTGTTTCTATATTTATATACTCTTTCTGACCAATAGCTTCATTCTTTGATACAGAATTAAAGATATAGTCAGCAATTTATTTATCATATTTAGCTCACCTCATGCTTACGGACACGTGTCATCTGGAGCATCCGTTGTCACTCCTGATTAGTCAAGTGCTTTCCTTTTTAGACTTCCAGAAAACAACATCATGAGGAAATTGTATCTTTTTAATTCTTTCAAGTTAGAAAATATGGAGTAAGTTGACACAAGATGTAACTGGCATTAACATTACAGAAAATGCAACATTTTGTACAATTGTGATGTGGCTTACAAAATATCTATAGAGAGAAAATAATATGAAACTTTTTATCCTAATTGTCAAAAGGTTGTAAATTATCATAGTGAGACTTGAGATGAACAATATGTACTGTATAAGATATTATGATATGTATAGTATATATTTATGCAAATACATATATATATTAAACTCTATAATGTCTGTATGTAACAACATTCCAAGATGAACCAAATTTGTAGATATGTAATATACTTGTACAGTTTGTATATAGTATGTATTTTGGTCATGTAAATATGTATATTTTGCACAGAAAAAAAATTTGATATAGAAATTATATATTTTCAAAAATCACATCACAGCATCAGAATTTTTTTTCAAATGAAACTGATATTATCAAGCAGAAGCAGAACTTCAATTAACACTATCATTAAAAGGAATTAATTGAATAAATTTTTTCACCTTGATCAATCCAAATGTAAATTGAATTTTAACTGTCAAAACATATAACACAATAACAATGATAGAAATTGAAGTTGCAAAGTATGTATAATATTCAATACATTTGATATGAAAAAAAAAATATATATAAAAATATATGTATAGGGTTGCTATATACATAGTACACAAGTGTCATACAAAGACATATACATCATTATTGGAATATAAACTAGTGATTACAGAAATTTTCTGACTAAGAAAACTCCACAATCACAATGATATACTATATTTTGGTTGTACACATTTTGGTCGCTACTGAAGTGATTTGTTTGTTTTCCACAACACTGTCATCAACATTTCGATATTATCTTATCTGCATTTGTTACTTGAACAAGTCTACTGTTTACATTTCTAACCTGTGTTCATATAAGTATCCAGGAGAATTTATTCAAATCATTAGTCACTGCAATTAATAGTTCTTTTTTGTGTGGGCGGATGCAATTATTTTCCTGTAACATGTGTTATATAAGACAGTGTATGTGATAGATTAAATGATTTAGGAAATTATCAAATGAAAGAGAATATACTTAAAGCAAACCTTTTTAATAAAAAGACATATCTACTAATTTTGATATTGTATTTAAGATGTATTTTGGTAAACATTTGCTTATAGAAATAACAAAATTGGTAATAGGAAATTTGCCTGAGGTAGATTTTTTTGTGATAAGTTTTACTGAAGTCAAAAGGTTTATATGATAAATTCTGCCATAGCGTCACACATCTGTCGTCTGTTTCATGGTTGTCATTCAAATATCTTTAATATATGTACTGATATTTCATATATCATTGTTGGGACTGTTAAAATGATCTCTGATTTCTCTGAGACAATTTTATCTGTCTCCACTAGACAATTTGGTTTATCAATTTCATCTAGATAGTTTGTAAATCAACATGACAAGTTATGAATAATAATGAGACTTCATAATAGCCCCATGTTGTTGATCAAGGTTTACTCAGTTCAAAGAAACAAAACAGTTGAGTGATACAGGCCCTTGAAGCCTCTTGTATAAGTATTTATTCAATAGTTTACAAATTTGTCACACAACAAGGTATTGTTATATTTACTTTACAAAGATATATGTTTATATTTACATATCAGTAATATGTAAAAGAGGACCAATTCTAGCTTTAAGATATATATATATATACATGTATATGGAGAACATAAACAAAAAGTAATAATTTCAATAATTTACTGATCAAAGGATTTCAATATATCATATGTATTAATCTATTTTGGTTGTTGAAATTTTAAAGTTTGAATCCACTAAAATGAAAAGAATGAAAGTTCTTAAATTTAAATAATGTCTCATTTTTTGCAAGTAGATAATTCATATAAACTCTTGAGTCTTTATAATGATCAACTTTGTTTCCAATATAAGTTAATAAATATGTTGTGTTATTAAAAATAATATGAATATATAAAAGACACCTGCTTACATGTCATCCAATATATTTTTCATGTTTCTATAAAATATATGATGTAGCATGTATATGATATAAAACCATTAAAAAGCACTAACATTCTTGCAATATGGCAAATGATGAGAAATGTGTTATATTTTCAATTATAATTAAACTGGTTCCCTGCCTGTCAACCTGCCTAATGTTTGCAGAATTTTCTTACAATTTTAGGTCATTTGACCTGTAGGGTCATGTTGACCTTTAGCCATTGTGTTTTGTCCATTGTGGTGCACTTTTAACATTTTAAACTTCTTCTAACCTTCTTCCATTGAGATTGAGCTCCAGCTTTAATGAAACGAAACTGAGATGGTCCTGACCAAGTGTTGTAATTTTTTAGGTCTGTCTGAAATCCAAGATGGTTGCCATTTTTAAAACATATTTTAAACTTCCATTGAGCTAAATATTCCTGGTAATGTTAAGGAAAGGTAGCCAACAAAGTGCTGTTATTTGTCGACCTTATCATGTGTAAAAACAAAAGATCCCAGAGGGATCTTGGCGCCCACCATTGTTTGATCTTTATTTGCTCTTTTAAAGTTGGATCTTTTCCTTCTTTTCTCTTCTCTTCTGTTTTTGCTTTTATTGATAAGACATATGAACATTCCTTTACATAAATAGCGATGATAATCTTTACCTGCCAAATCCAAAATGGCCGTCTAGAAGACATTTTGTTTCTTCTGACAGTCCCACAATCAAATGAGTACAAGGAGAGATAAAAGGGAACATAGGTATGAAATTTGAGATATCCGTTCAATACATCTGAAGAAATAGTAATAAGAAACTTTACTACCAAAATCCAATCACCACTACTAGGGACCTAAATAAACCGAACTATGAAATTTGAGAAAGATCTATAGAGTCAAGAAATTTCGAAGCCAAAAATCCAAGATGGTCGCTTGTGGGCCATTTTTTCTGATCAGTACTAAAATCAAACAGGCACAACTAGGGAGCAAGGAAAGCATACACATGATATTTGAGAAAGATCTATGCTGAAGTTCTCAAGAAATAGCGATAACAATCTTTCAAATTTAAATTCTAAGATGGCCGCCTGTCGGCCATTTTATTTTTGCGATCAGGCCCAAAATCAACTTGGCACAACTAGGGACTAAAGGAAACTTTCATTTGAAATATTCATTTGAAAAAATTCTCAAGAAATAGCAATAGCAAAAATTGTTTACGGACGGACGGACAAACCACGGACGTAGAGCGATTTATCATCAGACGGTGGGCTAAAAAGCCAAAATTAAACAGATAAGGAAGCGACAAAGGTTCAGACCACAGACATTTGTAAACATCTTTGGAAGTACACAATTATTTCTTAATTAATTGAGGCAGACAGAAGGCGGGGTTTCCATGTGTTACTCATGTAATATCATTTGGGCGGACACATTTCTTATATATAGGAGGCAGGATTAACCCCTTTTGATACAAGGGTTGTGTCTTCGGCAAAGAAACGGACTCAGATTTAAGGTTAAATGCTGTCTGAAAACATCACTGTCAAAATTAGGTAACACTTGTTGCAGTTAACTACTGCTCACCAAAACTACCATCTGTATCATTGAAAACAGATTCTTAAGCCCAGGTCGCACTGTCAAGAATCCCGGCAACGAATGACTACGATTTCCGAATCGTGGGTATTCTTGGATAAGACCGTAGGAGCACCGTGGCGGCACCGTAGATATCCTTGGGCAATCGTATATGACCTTGTGTCCGTAGGACAATCGGCATTCGCTACGACAGCTTTGAAATGTTCAAAACAATCGTGGCGATGCTACGATTTGATTATTACCGTAGCGAATTCGTAAGTTAGTCGTGGGTTATCGTATGTCCATCGTGAAAGTATTCGTGGTTATCCTTGGCTTTCCGTGGTGATTCTTGAGAATTCTTCAGTGGGGAAGTTCACGTTGTAGCACAGTTCGGCCTACGGTTTCACCACGTTTCCGGTACAATGATGACGATGCGTGTACGGTTAATAGCGATTTGATACGATTTCGATACGGATTACTACGTATACGCTAACAATGTCTACAATTTGCCAAGATTGTTTCAAGATTATCCTACGATTCACTACGGTTAACAGAAGTTCTATAAATACCGACCATAACACGAGACCCTTCTACTTCACCCCTTTTTCTCAAGTAGAAGACATCTGACCAACACTGATAGAACAGATATGGAATATGGCACCCAAAACAACAGACAAAAAAAGACCACTCGTACTCAAAACGTTCCGCAACTGGAACATGAAACGCTTATCGATGACGAAAACGAAGGCGAGAGTATCCAGGAGGAGGACGTCGCACAGTCCAGCCACCAATTAGCACAGGAGGTCACCCAATGTAACAAAATGAAAAAGACCAGTTTAATGTTGACTCCCGAACAATGAGAAGATGTTCTAGAATGACTGCGAACCGAGCTGCTATACAACAAAGGTAGTTGTGACTAGAATGACCAAGCCATAACTGAGACAAGGATATGAAATGCAAAGGCCGAAGACGTAATTCACAAATGAATGACTGCTTGGCGAATTCGTTGTTCCTTTTATATCGAATTTTCCTCAAATCGTGAGGGATCTTGACTTATCTTGGTTGTTCGTAATTCAACCGTAATCATTCTTCGGGTAATCGTGAGAGAAACGTGATTATTCGGCTGTAATCGTAGATATCCGTATAGTGTCCGGCCGTCATCGTGAAGCACTCGTCAGTATTCGTTGGGTGATCGTATCCTGACCGTAGCGGATCCGTGGAGAACCGTAGCAACTTGGGCAAATCGTAATGATTCGTCTGCTCAATCGCCATAAATCGTACAAACATCGTGAATATTCGTAACATCTTCGTAGGAAATCCGTAGAACAAAGTAATCGTGGAGATTTGTATCAGGAACCACCACGATTACCATGTCCACGATTGTCAATGATACATCGGCATCGTCCGTAGTTTTATTCTTTGACAGTGTGAGGTGGACTTTAGTAAGATTTCATTCAAAATAGAAATATAACCCTTCTCCCTGCTAAAAGTTTTTTGTAGTCAGACGACCGTTAAGGCCCGTGGACCTCTTGTTTTTGCTTTAACTTTGATAGTAAAGTTATACAATTATACAAACCAGCTCGAAGAGATAAATTCACCACTGTTTCATCATATATGTAATTATATTTAGATTTAAAAGACAGCGCAAATGTTCTCTTTCTTCTTAGTTTCAGGTTTTGAAGTTGATACGCAGATGCTTCACAACAAACCATTTTATACTGCATGACGAAAGAAAAGACAAACAGAAGAGAACATGTTTGAATGTAGGCTCTTTATAAAGAAAACTCTCGTCTTCAGGCTACAGGAATATTGCCTAAGCAAATACTAGTGATCCATTTGTTTGTAAGAGTCTATTCATTAAGGAGAGATACTTGGTACACGGAAATAACCAAATATCATAGCCTATCTATTTGATTTTCATACGTTACGATGCACAATTACTGTTTGTGAACAAATCTGAATCGTCTTGCCAAACATTAAAGGATTCTCTTTGTCGTCACATATAAATGTAAAGAAGACATTGGGTTTTGTGAATATCTCGGTCAGCATTAATTGTAAGTGTTATTTGTTGGGGGGGGGGGGGGGTCTGCTAAATATCCGACTTAACTACATCACTACTTAAAACTCATCATATGTGTGTGTATATGAAACATGACTGGTATTTTAAGTGGAGATATGGCCCCCATCGGCTCTCAAGCTTATTGCTATACCGAGTGAAACGAAGGGAAGTAACTCTGGGAGATAAGAATGAGCTTTTTTAGACTTTCAGAAAGTGGTTTAAGAAAGATTGCTGTACAAGCAGTTTAGCTTTAACCTTAACATATTTTAACTTAAACTGTAATTACACCTCATGTCCCTGTGAAACAGAGAAGGATAGGTCAAAATTCACCTAAACTGTAACTAATTCTCAGGCCCCTGTGATACAGACCAGAATGTGTCCATATTCACTAGACACTAAACTTATTCTCAGGCCCCTGTGAAACAGAGAAGGATAGGTCAAAATTCACCTAAACTGTAACTAATTCTCAGGACCCTGTGATACAGACCAGAATGTGTCCATATTCACTAGACACTAAACTTATTCTCAGGCCCCTGTGAAACAAACAAGGATAGGTCAAAATTCACCTAAACTGTAACTAATTCTCAAGACCCTGTGAAACAAACCAGGATATGTCAGCATTCACCTAAACTGTAACTAATTCTCAGGCCCCTGTGATACAGACCAGGATAGGTCAAAATTCACCTAAACTGTAACTAATTCTCAGGCCCCTGTGAAACAAACCAGGATATGTCAGCATTCACCTAAACTGTAACTAATTCTCAGGCCCCTGTGAAACAAACCAGGATATGTCAGCATTCACCTAAACTGTAACTATACTCAGATCCATGTGATACAGACCAGGATAGGTCAATATTCATCTTAACTGTAATTATTTCTCAGGCCCCTGTGATACAGACCAGGAAATTCTCGGGAACTCTGTGATAGCAGTATTATAGTCAAAACAAAACTATTTCCCTGTTTTGAATTTGAATATTATTTTAGACAAATCATGTGTTACTTCGTCGAATTACATTAAATGTTTCAACTTAAAAAATAAAATATTTCAATTTTTGTTATTTCTACGAAATTCGTTCATTGGGCGTGACGCAGCTACTTAGAAACCTTTGGACAGCTAGACATAACATAAGTGTGGAAAAATGACAATATTTTCTCCCTTCGTTATCTATTTTAAACAGAAAATTGTTGTACACCCATTAAATGTTGCATTGGCAAAGAATCCTGGGGCTGATGTCATCGATGTACCAGAGATTGTGATCTGTGATTCATGGGTATCTCGGACACGTAGTTGATCATGAGTGACGACTTGACAGGCAGTGGCGAGGTCTACAGTCCGTTTATCGGTAGTTTCCCTACCGGGGAGTGGGCAAAGCTGTACTCAAAGCTCTTTTTCTGACAGAAGAATCATTTCTCGTGTAGAAATTTAAGGAAGATTTATTTTTGAGAAAGGACCTAAACATTGTATGCCGAGCCTCGTGTCCCTGATCATCGAGATGGCCGTTGTCCGGAGGCAGCGAGATGTGTTCTTTTTGTCAACACTGACTGATTTACATATGTCAGAAAGGAAATTTACGAATGTTTGTTTCGAAAGAGGTTTTCATGTTTCATGAGTATGAATTAAAATCAAATTTAAAATAAAATTGAATTGTATATATGCAAGCCCTGTTTATTTATTGTTACTTGCGGCCATGTTTGTTTACATTGGAGACACTATCAGTTGTATTCATACACTGACCTCATCATTGTAAATTGTAGCATGCAGTCTCACATAGCTTGGTGTACTTACAACATGTAGGCAAATGCAACACGAAATGTAAATATATTGATATGGTATAAATTGTTCAACCATTTGGAAACAGATCAGTGAAATATTACATAATTATAAAGCTTATAAATGTTTTACATCGTGATGGGACCATCTGATGATGGCGGGCTATTCAAATCTCCCTGCATCCATGGTCTGTCTGTAAACGATTTTGTTATCACTATTTCTTAAGAAGTACTAGATGAATCTTTCTTAAATTTATGTTTCCTTTTGTCACTAGTTTTGCCTGTATGATTTTAGGACTGATCAGAAAAAAAAATGGCTTCCATGCAGCCATCTTGGATTTTATCAATGAAGATTGTTATCGCTATTTCTTGAATTTCATATGTAGGTTCCCCTTGGTCTCTAGTTGTGCCCATGTATTTTTGGGAGTGATCAGAAAATTACATGATGGCCGGATTGCGGCCATCTTGGATTTTGACTTTGAAAGTTTGTTATCAATATTTCTTGAGAACTGCTGTCCAGATCTTTCTCAAATTTCATGCATAGGTTTCTTTTGGCCCCTAGGTGTGCTCATTTAATTTTTGGACTGATCAGAAAAACAAAATGGCCGAAAGGCGGCCATCTTGAATTATATTTCAATGAAGTTTGTTTTCGATATTTCTTCACAAGTATTGGATGGATCTTTCTTAAATTTCATATCTAGTTTCCTCTTGGTCCCTAGTTGTATCCATTTGATTTTTCAACTGATCAGAAAAACAAAATGGCCGACAGACGGTCATCTTAGAATTAGATTTTGAAAGTTTGTTATCACGATTTCTTAAGAAGTACTGTATAGATATTTCTCATATGCCATCTTGGATTTTGCCAAGTAAATAGTATTCTCCCTCTATCTTATAAAGTAATGAATGGACATCTCTCAAATTTCATACATATGTTCCATTGGGTCTCTCCTTTTGCCTTTTTAATTTTGGGATTGTATAAGTTCTCAAAATGATGACACATTCATTTATTCAAACAAATGTAACATTTATTCATACAGATGTAATATTCATTCACACAAATGAAAACAACAGTCATACAGGTAAAAGATAAATAAATCATTTATACACACAAATTAGCAACAATTCAATCATACACACAAATTAGCATCAATTCAATCATACACACAAATTAGCATCAATTCAATCATACACACAAATTAGCAACAATTCAATCATACACACAAATTAGCATCAAATCCTTCAAACACACAAATTAGCAACATAGCCTAATATAATAGTTTCCAATTTAGGCTACAAGATCACTCTTAAACATAATTTTGCCCAATCTTACTGGGTAATATTTCTGAAATAAATACCTATAGATCTAAAGGTTTGGCTACAACTGCAATTTTCGGCAGTAATTTTTTCATGCATTGAACAAGAGAACATCAAGTGGGAGCATGATACATACCCCTGAGCATGATACATACCCCTGTCCCACCTAAAATTCTATCAATACTGTGAGCATGTGTTGAAAATGCATGAAGGTTAAAATTCACTGTTTGAATGACTTTGAAGTTTGGCCTGGGCATACAAGAGCCAAGGATGTTGAATTAATATTATACTTTTTTTCACCCAACTCCATTTTTATACTGTATGGTTCTTTGTCCATTTCCTTTTCCTTTTCCACTCTCTCGCACTGTTATCTATATACAGTACTTTGATTTTAATGAAACTTGCTACATAATTTTTATGTGCATTATTTCATTGCCAAATTCAAAAAGACTTCAGTAAAGAATTGCCCATATTTGACAATAAAAAGGACATAACTTTGCTAAAATTAATCACAAAATTCTGTAATGCGATCTTGTTCTAATTTGGTAAGAAATATTTGAAGAAAGTTTCATGAAAATCAGATCATAAATACAGGTAAGAGAGAGCTAACAAGGAAAGGTTAACAGACTGATGTACAGATCACACAGAATATACCATAACATGACCCAATGTCATATTCATATTCTTTCCATAATCAAAGAAATTCTTGAACTTTCACAATACCTGGGGCAGGTATATTTGATAACAGGACAGCTATAATTTTCCAATATTTACAAAGTGAAGTTGTTGATTACGGAATTTTTGCATGCTTGTATTCATAATTTGCAATCGCACATCCCTTACCTCTTAAGAGCATATAAATACAAAAATTATAATCCAACATCAATTTTAAACTATTTCATTTTCCATTCAGAATCAAAAACAATCAAATTATGTTGATCATCTGTAATTTTGTATGTTGTAAGACGTTATACCACAATCTGGTTTAAATACAGATCATCATTATGCACTATGTTATAAATATCTGACAGTGGTTAGGACCACACTCAGATCAACTCAATGCTTACAATAAAACATGATTTTTCAGCCAGGTTTGCTATTGGCACAGCTATCTTTGTGTGGACAAGATTAGGGACACTCGATTATTATTGTAAGAGATTTTGCCAGTAGCATTTTGATTGTTTGGTTTGAAGGTCATTTAAATTTGACCCTTTACGGGAGGTCGTCAGATTTTCCTAATGTAGAGTATAATGATGATCTGTATATCAATTGTCATGTCTGATACACAATGGAAAATATGTATGTGGGATCTACGAGACATTAAGATAATGATGTCTGCTGGTATTCCGTGATTACAGTGATGAGAAGTTGATCACATGTTCAGATAAGTTCACAATTCTATGAAAGAAATATTCCTTCATCATTTGTCCAGTAATGTCTGTGGAAACACATCCTCTTCGTTATTAATCCTCATCCAACCTCAGCTCTGCGTCAACATTGAAGATAGTATTTCATACTGATAGAAAAAAGATAAGTAAAATAGACATCAACTAACCTACACACAAAAAGCAACAAGACAACACTAAATCTACTACAGCAACACTATGGATATGGCGGGCAAATGATAATGATGCAACAGACAAACTCAGGTGAAAGTTTCTGTACAGTTATCTAGTACAAGATTTATCAGTCTGACTTCCCGGAGTAACTTCCCTTTATTTAACCTATCGGTACATGAGATAAAGTTACTACCCTTCATTTCACCTATCAGAACATGAGATAGAGTTACTTCCCTTCGTTTCACCTATCAGTACATTAGATAAAGTTACCTCCCTTCGTTTCACCTATCAGTTCATGAAATAAAGTAAAGTGTTACTGTATAATACTGTACATTTGTTCTAATCACATTTTGGGTGACAAATTTTTATCTCTTCTATTTGGAAGCATTACTGCATCATTTCAGCTTTTTCATTTTTCCATAACTTTAAGCCAAGAATTAAGGCAGAAGGATCAAAACCCTCTACTATATCTCTATATATCAAATTCTCAAAAACTTTGATTTCAATATTTCACTTAAAGGCACCCAGGTTCTAGAACAGATTTTGCCCAGTCATTAAACAAAACAAACTGTTGTGTTATATTCTTTTTGAATTATGCACATTTTAGATAATAGATGTAGATGGCATCTTAATCAGAAACTGATTATTGCATAAGAGATCAGAAATGATGGCAGTGTGTAATTGTGTTACCACAATAGCATATTATATATTATATTATATATAATACTATAAATTATGAAATATTTTCTTGATAACTTGTACTAAAATACCTGTACCTGAGTTATCTGCAAGATAACTAAAAATCTATGGTGTGATTACTATATACTTTGATATATAAGTGTCATACTGCATTCTGTACACACTTATATATGTTTTGATTCTAAACATTTATGTTGGTGGTGTTAAGACAAACCATCCATTAGTTATTAGTTTACACCTACATATCAAAACAAATAGGCCCTGAAAGGTATTAGTGCCTAGTTATCTATTCAAAATACAACCACTTTACATGCACAAGTCTAAAAGTTAAAAACTAAAAGAACTAAGGCTTCCTGTAAAAAAAAGTTCTAAAGCAGGTCAATTATAGACAAGAGACCCACAGGCCTTAACCATTATCTGACTACAAAAATTTTCAGCAGGGAGCAGGGTTATTTTTACTACTTTGAATGAAATCTTACTAAGAAGTTGTTTCCGTGATGCAGATGGTAGTTGTGGTGAGGAGTAGATAACTGTAACAAGTGTTTCCTATCTTTTGACAGTAAAGCTTTCAGACAGCGTTCAACAAGCCGTCATCCATCACTCATAATTCTAACCAAGTTTGAAATATTTCCAATGTAAATTAAACAAATTATGCTCAAAAATCTAGTTTTCCTCTATAAACTATAGTACACTTTACCCCCTCCCCATGAGGATATTTGAGACCCTGGGGCCATGAAATTCACAATATTGGTAAAGCACCTCGAGATGCTTCCATTCATGAAGTGTAATTGATTCTACTATATCTGGGTCTTGAGAAGAAGAATTTTGAAACCAAACCTGAGTTTTTCAGGCCCCTGGGGGGTGGGGACCATATAATTCACAATTTCGGTTCTTCTTAGGCCAGGGAAGGATTTCTGTAAAATTTCACTCAAATTGGATCTGGGGGTTTTGAGAAGAAGTCGGAAGTGTTAAATCATTTACGGATGCACAGCACACGACCCCGTATGAAGGGTATTAGAATAGGTTACCATGAGACTAACTAATCTGTGATAAGATACCGCCATTGTAACACTCTACATTTGAAACCCATAGGTTAAGCTCTATGCAATCTTAGGCCTTTTCATAACAAATTATAAGATTTATGTTTAGCAATTTGATTAGCTTCAGACAAAAGAAATCTGACCAATCAGGAAGAAGCTACGCCAGAATTGAAGTTGATCAATTTTTAAAAAGCCTAGGAAGCTAGTCCCCTATCTCAAAGGGGGATTGGCTTATTATGGGACATTAATGCTATAAAATCTGCTGTGATTTCTTCTGAAACTTCTATCAAAGTTAATTGGATTATTATCAGGTATGGTGTTGTTATAAATATGGAGTGATTCCTTTTATTTTATAGCAAAGAGATCAAAGGTACATTGCAATTATGTTCCTGTTACAGGTTTGGTTATTAACAAATTAATATCCCTAATACATCTAATACCTCCACATCCGAGACCTGCAGTGATAAAGTTGTATTTTTGTGATGGAAAGAACATTATAAATAAAGGGAACCCACTTAGCTAATGCATTACAAATAATGGTAACATTCCAAGAATTATTAATATGCAGATTAGTATGTGAAATATTTAAGAATTAGGCAGCAGCGATTATGTTGCTAAATATATCTCCGACAATGCTAATTATAGACAAGTGATTTTGTTTGTATTTGTTATTCTGTGACAAATTTAGTCCTATTTCTTTGTGACATTTGGCTGTAGCAGTCTGAGTTCATGCTTTAAACACAATCACATTCACAGATGTCAGTATTTGAAAAAAAAAACAAAAAAAAAACAACAAAAAAACATGCACACACTTAATTTCACTTTAGGAGAAATATCTGAATTGTGGATTATCATTTATATCTAAAGTCCTTAAATTGATTTAAACATATTCTTACACTATGTACTGAAATCTACATACCCTTTATATTATAGATGGTATATTGATCACTGATCAAATGTTGGATTTCAATCTCTATATCATACATTAAATAGTATCAAAAAGTATGATTTTGATTTAAATTTTTCAGATATTCATCAATGAAACTAGAAACTCATTTACTTATGTCTACGTCAAAAGTTACTGGTTGAGCTTTCTCAGATTAACAATTTTCTCTGAAACAATTTAAACAGCAGCTAACCAATGTGTGGTGTGAGATTATGAAAAAGAACTCATTTACATAATATTTTCTATGGGTAAGTGAACACAAACCAATCAGAAGCATGCGTATGTCAGTCCATTAAAGAACCACACCACTGGTTGGTCCTCTTGCTTTGAAAATGATAGATTATTCCAGTAAAACATCTATAGCTACCTATAAGGAAAACTCCAAGTTTGTCAAACAGTGAGAAATTGAGAAAATGGAATTCCTTCATTTTTGGATTTTTCCTACAGGAGAGATATCTTACTGAAATATTCCTCATCTGAAGGTTTAATGTAATGCCATATGCAGACATGCATTTCAAATCAAGTGTTGTAATTTTCAATACGAAATACTTATTCATCATAATATTTTACAGTTACTGATATTTTGAGAGGTGAGTACATATAAAAGATTTATCATCTTAGATGCAAAACCCTTAGCAAGCTACCAGTGACAGTTCTGAAGTCTTTGTACTTGTGAATTGTCAGTCTGTAACTGGTACCAGATGTCCAGGGTGATGGCTGAAGTTATCTAAAGACTGACTTGATGGAAACAATACAACTAAATCTCCAAATTCATATTCAATATTTCTATCAAACCACTGAGAAAATGAAAGGTAATTGATTCCACGGACCAAATCTCTGTTAAAAAAAGTCAATATTAGCGAACATCACCTTGACCTTTATATTTTCATTGTACATTTTGTCAACTACACATCAAATTTTATTATCTACATCTAGCTGTGAATTAATGAGCTGCAATCTGCATATTCTCACTGTACAACAGCACTATAAATTTCACTTTAATATCTCCATCCATCTGAGGCTAAATGAACAGACACCAAACAATGATGTTATGATGGCCAAGGGCTCTGTTTCATGGTGGGAGCATAAATCATTATCACTTTGATATTTGCAATAACATGACTGTCAGCATTAACCTGATCAATACTTCATAAATATTCACCTCCTAAAAAGTCAATAACCATTTTATTATGATATAGCATGCTAATTAAATAATTCAATTCCAAAAAGAATGGTTCCTGATAGTTCATGAATTGTTGGTGATAATACACAGTTTTACTATGTCAAATGCAAAATACATTAATAAATAATTTCAACAGATGGAAATTTTTCAAATTCAATTTGTTATTTTGACAAAGCATGCAATTTTGCTGCAACTGCTGACAAAAGCAATCATGTAAACCACTAGTAAAAAAATCACAGAGACAGAAAGACTTGGAGTATCCATAATGTTAGGTAGCAGTACGCAGTTTCTATGTGTGGCCATGGGTGATATTTTTGTTCATTAGATTACCCCATTATAAAGGTTTTAATTAAAATCTTAAAAATAAATCCTTGCTAAAATTGGTCTTGTCATGTTCAAGTGGACAATGTAGGATTTCATTTTTTTCAGAATAATATTTTAGCTTTGTGTTGGAGATTAGTGTTTGACCAGTCTAAAATCTAAAGTGAAATTTTCAAAGTGTTTAGATGTGGTCATGTTATTAAGATTTCCAGGTTGGAACTTGCTGAAATGTAAGTACTTTGTTACCATAACTGTGTTGATATTAAGAAAGGTGTTCAGAAATAAATTTCTTCTATAAGGTTGTAGTGTTAGGTTGGAATTAGCAGTATTTTCACATTTTTTGCATTTTTTCAGTTGGTAACCATGGCAATCACATGTCAGAAACCAGAGGAAATTTTTTATTTACACAAATTTTTTCCCTCTACTATTAATGTAACTGTTATGTAGTTTATAAATATATATACATGTAATGACGTACTTTTTAGATAACCAAACTGCTATACCTGTATATCTCAAACATGACCAATAGTTTCAGAAACTGCAAAATAACTGTTTCCTGCTACCTTAGTTTTGAAGAAAACTGTCTACAGACTATAAATATCAATTATCTTTGTAACACTTTTCTGATTGGCTTCACACATCACATGACTACCAACAGAAGTTACTATGGTTGCAATATTATATGATTCTCTGTGCTTTCATTTACTTCTTGTGACTGGACATGATCTCTTTATTGTTATGTTTGAACAATACTGATAGCAAGTTAAAACGAAGAATGATAAACTGAATTCTATATAATTATCTGCTTATCACTTAACAGTTATGTTCCTTCACATCTAGCTCATGACATTTTTCCAGTGTTAAATAACGCCATGCAGGAAGATGTCAAAAAAGAAAACAGAAGGAACTTAAAGGTCTTTTACGAGTTCTGACATACAGTTAAAATTGAATATTGTGTTAATGTGTGTTTTGTATAGAGTTATTTTTGGGCTATATATGTGTGAAATGATAAAACAGACAGCCACTTTGTGATAACTGATAATGTCCTACTAGTTTACTCTCAATATATAATCTTCACAGCATCATAGATATACTTTTAACTCTGAATACACGGCACTGGATATTAGACATAATCAATCATCACTTGGTGACTCGTAATCTAACTGCTACATTTATATACGATCTAATACAGCAAGTAACCAAATACGTAAAACTTGGTGATCAAAAATATATGAAGAAGTGTAGCTCTCGGACAAGCAGAAAATTAAAATTTAAAATGTTAATCAAGAGGCCCATTGGCCTTAATGGCTATCTGACTAGAAAGACCTACTCATGAAAGAGGCCAAATAGGCCTGAATTAAATTTCTCACATACTCTACAGCTTACACAGAAGACATTGTTGGTTTATCAAGACATTTTCCGCAAACTTGAAATCATATTCTTTATACATGCACTACACAACTGCCATTACTCCGTACATATTGCTTGTTGAAAAAGCAAGTTCCAGGCCCAATATCAAGTCCTATCCATTGCCAATCGGATATTGTGAATAAGTTGCTTAAGCATTTCAACACATTTGACCTCTGTGACCTTGAAAGTTGATCCAATATCAGCATCCTGGGCTTTTTGGTTATCAAGAAGAAGTCATTTATACATTTTAACACAATTGATACCTGTGACCTTGAAAGTCAGTTAATGTCATCCATATTAACAAAATAGGTAGCCCTACATCCTTGCCTGCTACAGGCCTTACACAGCACCCTGGTCCTTTTAGTTATTGAGAAGAAATTGTTTAAACATTTTAAGACATTTGATACTTGTGCCCTTGAAAGTGGGTCAATGTCATTCATATTACCAAATTTGGTAGCCCTTCATCCTAGCATGCTACAGGCATTAGTAAATTGTGTATACATGGCATATTTTGTCTCAGGAGACCTAGAAATTGGTGAATTGGAAAGGAAATTTTCAGCAATAAATTACAAATTTGGGAAATTTCACTTTAATGTGAAACAATTTCAATTAGGCACTGGGCTAATTATTAGCCCTAAAAAGCCTTAAAAAATAGCTCATGATCTTCATCAGTTTTAAGCCAATTTCATTTTTGTTTTCTCCTTCCTCTTAGGGACTGTATAGACAACTGTAAATAATACAACAAATCCTATGGTATGTACCAACTATTGGTGTTTCTAAAATGATACTTGTCCGTCTGTTGTCCAACTGAATAGCATAAAATTGTGATTGCTTTAGGGACCCAAGACAACATTGCACGAGAAACAGGATTTAATACTTTTAGAGAAATAGTACTAACAAACCTCATCTCTCAAAACCAAGGACAGCTATTTTCACAAACTTCTTTCTTCAACGCCAAGAATATTATACATTGTTTACATATAAAATCTGAGATTGTTCCCATCCCAATAAGTACTTTCTTATGGGGCTAGTACAACTTCCAATCTAGACATTTCTTTCAATCAGTTTGGATTTCCCCAGTTGCCTCCTAGGGTTAAGGCTCTACACAGACAAAATATTTTGTAAAAGTGACAATGCACCAAAGTCCAAAAGTGATTTGTACAATCTTATGACAGTGAAATATATACATTGATCAGGTATAGGTTTGAACAAGCTTGTATTTGATTACTTGCAGATACAACATAATCAATGCTCACCTCTTGTCCTTTCTCATTTTCTTCCTCAATCGTTTGGTCTAAAATAGCTTGTATTCGTTGCTGAAATATACAAAACCTTTGTACAGTTAAAAGAGGTTATCTAAATAATTTCAAATATTTAGAAACATTTCGAATTTAAAAATATTTTAAGTTTTTAAGGTCATGAAAGTATTATTTCTGAACTATTAAACTTTATAACTACCAATATTCTATAAATAAAACAAATTTTTTATACACTATGTCATCTAGGTACACCTGACTTAGATCTGCTTACCAAACATGGTCTGTATTTGTCTTCCATTACAATATGTATCAAGATAGTGGTTTTTCACTTGAGTAAGATACTCTTGTAGTAGCTAACTACCCTGTTATCAGTGTGATAACACCATCACATCAATGTGGGTTATCACATCTGTAATACTGACCTAGCAGAGCTGTGAATGGCAGAAGGTTCCTGTTGCCTCCATTATCACGTCATAATTTCATAGCACTACATTTTATATACGTTGTGACATCACCAAAGAAAGAGATATGGAGTACATTACCAATTTATGATTTTTATTAGTCTCACAGGAAACAGATGCTTCAGACCAAATTTGACTGAAATCCATTCAAGCATTAAAAAGATGTAATGTTTTGAAGCAAAATATTGTCTTATTTCCCCATTTGGGGAACCACCCCCCTTGTCTAACTTCCCTTTTGGAGCCCCATCCCACAGGTTCCTAGGAGCCAAATTAAATTTCTGAATGTAAGAAATGATCCTCCACCCTCAATGATGTTTCTGATCAAATCTGTTTGAAATCCACCCTTTGGGTCAGATGACCTAAAGATACTTAAGTCTCACATGAAAAAGTTTACCTGTAATATAGGGCTCTGAGTTTTAGCAAGACGATCCTCTGTTGATTTTCGTCTTTGACGAATCTCCTCAACTTGTCGTTTTAGTTCTGACAGCTTACTCTGCAGTTCAACTGTGAAAAAATTTCCCTGATAAAGCTGTGTCTATCCTTCTATAAGCCTGGGAGCCAACACATCAACACCTCTGACCTATAAGTCAACTGGTCACCATTCTATCAATTTGTTATACAGAGACAAACTTCTGTTAAAATAATGGCAGTGTCTCCAACAAAAACACTGAAATTTCGTAAGAGATGGCAGTACAAGTATGTAATCATACTAATGTTAATCCTGTAATTGTCTGCGGTTCTGGAAGACACCTGTACAAACACACTGAAGAAATTGGAAATGTTACACTGAAGTTGGAGGCAGCTGTTCCATGAATAGGGGGGGAATCATATAAACATGAAGTGATGGTGATAAAAATTAGTTAAAGAAATGTAGGACATTTGAGAATCTGAGGTTAACTAACAAGAAATAAAAAAGGACATTGTCAGGTCAAGGCAACCAGTTCAACAAATAGGGGATGTTTGAGTCAGTGGGGTCTTACTATTAACAAATACCCTGGTATGTGTTTTAATTTATTTATCTAAAATCTCCATTCATGCTTTCAAATGATCCATATTAAACAGGATGTGTTCAAATACTAGATATATATATATTAAGTCAAAGGATTTCAAATCAAATGAGATTGTAAGAGAAATGTACCAGAATCTGCGTCACCTCCTGCTACTGTGTCTTGTGACATGCTGTCGTCCTTGTTGGTGAAGGCAGACACACCCTGCATGAAGGCTCCCTGAGAGATATCCTCTTCTCCACTGTCCATGATATTGATATCTTTTTCCTCTTCTTCTTCTTCCTCTTCTTCTTCCTCCTCTTCATCATCTGAGCTGCTCAGCTCCCCAAACAGATCTGTACAACAATGAAGCAGTTTCATTAGTCAATCCTTTCTCAGTATGTTCTTCAATAAATGGAGGTTTTCTGTTTAAACTTTTCAACATTTTTTTTTTATAATCAGCACAAAATTTTGAAGTAGTCCTCCATCAAACAGGTTTTTAAATTGTCTTTCACTTACAAAACTTTCATCATTATACAATCACTTGAAGAAAATAAAGTTCTTTCTAATCACCAGCATTATATACAGGGTACATTTTCTGACAATCCAATATGAATCAAACCATGAATATAACAAAATTATTTACTTTCCTGTAACTATGTATTTCTCTTTAACAAATCATTAATTATACTTATCCTGCAATACACCAAGGGATGCAACATTGAACTTTACTCTAACACAAGAAAGGGGGTGGGCTTATTACACAACAATGAATTAGTACATGTTTTCAATTCCAAAGAACAGACACAGATATGGATGGTGGGTGTGCTTCTCAGCTGGCATGGATTTATTGCTGGATAAATATGGTATGCTTTACTGGCACATTAAATATTGGTGGATAATCTGTGGTGCAAGCTAGTAGGTTCCAAAATCATGATTAATTACACAGGTTAACAAGAGGCCCACCAGCGTTAAGGGTCATCTGACTAGAAAGACCTATATAGGCCTGAAATAAATTACTCAACTACACTACAGCTTACATATAAGACATTGGTTGGTTCATAATGACATTTTCTTTAAACTTGAAATCATAATCTTTATACATGCACTAAACAAATGCCATTATTCCAAACATATTGCTTGTTGAAAAAGCAAGCTACTGGCCTATCATCAAGACCCTTGGCCTTTTGGTTATTGAGAAGAAGTTGTTTTAACACTTCAACATATTTAACTCCAGTGACCTTAAAAATTGGTCAAGGTAAAATCTGGTAGTCTTAGCATGCAACAGGCGCAGCACGATGTGACAATGAGACACAAAGGAAAACTTGACTTCCGGAGATCATAATTACCTGGATTGGTCATTAATGGGTAGATAATGACTTGTGCCTGTGATTTCAACACTGAACACTGGTGATTGTGTGTACGTAAGATAAATTAATCTTGGTTAATTGGTCAAAGAAAACAAACGAGAAATACTAAAGCATTAGGCTTTTTTTTCCTACTCTATAATTAAACAGGAAGTAATTAAAAGTCAGTCAATGAAAAGAAAAAATGCCAAAGAGAGAGCTTTCAAGTTTTGGACTTTCTATCATTGGTCTGACATGTTAGCTGCTGAACATTCTGAGATCAATTTCTTGGCTCCAAGAGATGGGAGATTTTTTCACCAGTTTCAGCCCCAAAAAGTACCTGCACGCATTACATAAGTTTTATGGTATTACTGTATTTATCCAACAATAAGCCCATGTCTGGTAATAAAGCCACTCATTGGTACATCTTTCATTAAATACTACTTCATTTCCAGTATTAAGCTTATACCTTGAGTTACAGCTTATGTTTCTGTCTCCATGGCTGACTTCATAATAAATGTAAGGCAGGTAAAACTCGGTTTGAATTAAAGAAAACGGGCCATGACCAGAATAAGACAAGTAGAAACTAATGTATTGGCCTTACTTCCATAGTCTAGATTTCCTGAGTTCTGATCCCACTGACCAGACTGACCGCCAACCCAGCCTTCCATTGTTGTCTGACCTTGACCATTAGAATCAGCTGTGGGTTTTTCCTCCTCAACAATAATTTCCCACTTCACATTAATGGCTTCAGCATCTGTACGGAACAGTCTCTTCACCTCTTTCTCAATATCTGGTTGTTCCATGTACTGTACAATAAATATATACATATTTTTCCACATTACTAGTAGTAAACTATAGACAAATACCAATTCAAACATTCAATACTTATTTATAGCAGAAAATCAGTAGTTCTCACCTTTTTCTTTAATGTTTTTCTAAATCTTCTTTTTCTGACATTTTTCAGTGGAGGGGTCACTGTAAAGATAAAATCCACTTTTAGCAGTTCGTAGCTGGAGTTAGCTGACCCATCATGATTTTTCTCTTGCTTTCACGATCAACTTAAAAGAGTCTAGCTACTTTAAAGTATGGCAACCATCTTAGATTATAAAATGGCCACTTAACATTGCTATTACACACTTTGTATCGCTTATCAATGAATGAATAATTCTTACCAAATCTGGCATCTGGTAAAAATATTTTTGCTCAATTAATAATATCTTCAGATTATAGAACCAAAAAACACATATCAGAATATTCATCATAATATTATGTTATTAAATCCAGATCAGTTTTGCATACACAAAAATAGAACAAACCTCCATGTGGAAAATGATACTTTTTGTTTTTGTCCTTTTCTTTCTTTTTTGGGCTTTCATTTTCATCTTGACTGGTGTCCTCATCAGTGTTACTGCATATTAGTACCTAGATAATGATCAGAGGTAAACAAGTCATTAACAGTGAGTCATTAAATAAATACAGACAAGTTATCGCAAAGCATGACATTATCCCCTATGCCACTCTTTATAAAAGAAAGACACACAATCACATATACATCATCTTCAATACTCCAGGGGTTATAACCACTTTCGCTCTCTCTGCATCCCTGGAACATGTCATGGTTAACATGAAGGCACAAGCGAAGTCATTTTCTTGGTTCCAAGAAAAAAAAAACAACCACTCACAGCCTGATACGCTCCTTTTAAAGATTACAGAGGAGTGACACCAACTTCAAAACTATTACAATATACGGTTTTGCAACCTCAAGATTTGTTTGATTAAAGTAGTCATTTCATCTTGTCCAAAAGGTGTCCCACATGGAACCTTCAATTTTGCCATGAGATGTTCCAGGGAAGCAGAGAAGGAAATTGATTGTAACTCCTGGAATATTGAGGATGTATATACATGTACTTTTTACAATATTAAAATAGCAGGTATTAACTCCATTCCACAAGTGAATGTAGATAATCTTTTATTATTGAGGTTTTTGAGTATGGTTTGGAATCATTCACAAAAAGAATGAGTACATAAAAAATAACCTTTTGTACCTATTATGAGATATATATATAAATAAGACAGCTAATTATAAAATTGGAAGACTTTGCCAATGATTGAAGTTGTTTTTAACAGACTACATAAAAAGAAAAGTATCAAAAACTGTACACTCTTCCAGTAGCACCAAGAGAGTGCTAGCTCCTAAAATGTATACAAAGTTTCAGGTAGTCCTTCAACAATTCTGCTGCTATGCTCTGGAAACTGTGAAATTTGTGGTTTTGCCTTTTTGTGGCTAATCTCTTTCCACGGTAACAAGAAAAAAAACCTCCCCCACCATAAAAGGCACCCTTTGAGCCATGCTTTACACAATTGAAGCTGGTGATTTGGCATTTCTTTTTCCATGGTAAGAGAAAAAGTATTTAAATAGAGAACTTCTCCATAGCAAAAGCACTACTAGAATACTAGCTGGTTGTTAACATTTTGTGTACTTAGCTTGAAAAGTTTCAGAACTCTGGTTCAGAAAATGCCTTTGCATGGATAGACAGAGCTCAATTTTCTCTCCCCTGCAAACATGTTTTGTCAGAAGAAAACCACTTTCTACAACAAAATACTAAAACTTTGTGAAATGTGAATGAATGTTGTACTCACCTGAGAAATATCAGCTGTTTTATAAAACGTTTTCATATCAACAGTCTTCAATGATTCAATAATACATGGTAGGTCCATCAACTGAAAAAGCAACAAAAGTCAAATATACTTAAACATTTATTATTCATAGAAATTAATGTAAACACCTTCATTATTTGCAGAGCTTCGTTATAAATAATAAAGTTGGATAGCACGGGCGTGTAAATTAAACAGATATTAATGTTTTCAAGTATGCTTTCCAGGAAAGAGATTGTCAATTTGTAATGTTGGCCAGCTTGGAAAACACAACATTGACCCTTGATTTGTACACTGAAGTTAAATACAAATGGACATTCAGCATTTTATTGCAAATAAACATTACATAATAATGAATACTACATTTTGATTTACTATGAAGTTATTGGGAAGCAATTAAAATCACAGGTATATACTTAATCTTAAAGATATTTCTTAATCAAAACACCAAACACGAAACAAATCAAAGTTACAAGACAAGTCAGTGTAAAAACCTCATTATGAAAAGAGAAAAAGATGTAGAAGAGACAAACCAGGTTTCCACTCACCTTTGCATACAATAGTTCATTTCCATATCTGACAATACAGTGTCTATGATCTGGCTGCACCTCAATGCTGAACTTATCCTTCAGTGTCAGGGAACCAGCTTGAACATCCCTTCGCAATGCCATGGCAGGTCCCTGTGAAATGAACACAATAAAAACAACCCATATCATTTTGATTTTTACTTACAAAATGTATACATTATTTTCTTTAAAAATATATAGTACATCACTTTCATCAATATCATCATTCATGATGTTCCATTGAGATACAGCTGTATATTAACAATATACATTAAATACTCAATGTTACTGTTATACTGATTATATACAATAAAAAAAAGATGTCACACAACTAAAAAGAAATCCCCTGAAACAGTATGATATCATTATCATTGATGTTCAAGTTTAAATTCAACAATTCACTCTAGAACAATATCTATAGGCAACAGGTAAATAGGAGACATACGTTAAAAGACAAAAGTTGTTTCTGCTTTTAGTATACATTTTAGTGTATATTTAGAATTTGTAGAAAATGAGAGATGTTTTCCTTGTAGCAAAGTTTCGGTGTTGGAAATGCATGTTGGTAAACTTTTCGAGATTCTTACTGATCTAATAAAGATGGAGGTCAGAGGAACAATTTCCGAGCAGTGTGGGATCTGAAATTTGTGTGGTAAGCAAAAGGGTTACTTAGCTCCCCCTCCAGAGATGAACTCCTCCTACACGAACCTCAATGTATTAGTAATCATTATGTAATGCACTGCCTCCGCCAGAATTTAAACCTCTCCTGAGACCTCTGGTATACTAGTCTGATGCTCAACCAATCAAGCTAAAGGAAAGTTCTCACAATCAAACAGTATATTGCAGCTTAAATTTACCATGGTTACAATTTCAGTGGGACCAATTATTTGTCTAATACACTGGATAATGTCAATCTCATTCACTTCCAAAAATGAGTGCGTTTCTGCCTAAGTTTTGAATCTTGAAGTGATGTTATCAATCTTCAGAGAAGATACACCAAAATGCTTTCTTTTGCTTTGATTTCAGGGCTTTCAAATTTGCACTGTCAACATCTTATGATTGCTATCAAAGCCATATCAACTTTTATGGACACAATGTATAGGACTAGTGCCAAACTTTACAAAGCTTTCTTGCATTAATCATATAAATTGTAATTTAGGATAGTAGGATAGAGTTACACAATTGATTTTCATGTGCAATTTCTCTCTGAAAGTCAGCTCCCCACTTTTTTATTTTGATATCTTGGGTCATTAAATCAAATGTGCGCCTGTTTGGTAGGCACTGTTTGATGTTTGAGATGTGTGCCTGTGTGGTAGGCACTGTGTGATGTTTGAGATGTGTGCCTGTGTGGTAGGCACTGTGTGATGTTTGAGATGTGTGCCTGTGTGGTAGGCACTGTGTGATGTTTGAGATGTGTGCCTGTGTGGTAGGCACTGTGTGATGTTTGAGATGTGTGCCTGTGTGGTAGGCACTGTGTGATGTTTGAGATGTTCGCTGGGGGATGTGCCCGTGTGTGATGTGCCCCTGTGTGACGTGTGTTATGTGCCACTGTGTGACGTACCCCTGCGATTAAATGGAGGACTTAATTCGGACTTGATTAAGGTTAATTTCTAGCGTTGGCTATCCGATACTTTAGTCATTTGTGAAGCACGGATGTGTTGCATTTGTATACAAAATGTATACTGTTTTCCAAAATATCACCGATGTCATTGCTAATTTACATGGGTTAAGCAGAGTGAATCAGAGAACTGAATCTAAGAGCTAAATATTGGTCTCTATTTCCAACCATCATGACCATTGTGATCATGGTATCGGAAATAATGCCCAACCTGTTAGTTAAGCAATCCCCCTAATAAACACAAAAGTAATAATCTTACCGGTGGCAGCCGAAGGAGAAACTGCTGTTCTAGATCAAATGCTGGTTCAGAAGGAATTTCTTTCTTCTTGGGTGCATTTTTGGAGCTCATCGTTTCACTTTTAATGACCGGAAGTACACAAATTAAACTAAATTACGATAAATTAGAAACGGTAACGGAATTTTATTTCCGGATAATAACCCAGTTGTGCAACATGACTGATAATAAGAAGTAAACACAATACAGAATCTGGAAGACTACGTATACTTTCTTCTCTTAAGTATGATTTACTAATATGCTTTATACTTGTTTTATTTCGTTTCAATATTGTGGTTGCAGGTAAATTTTGATTTGTTTATAGTGATATAACGTGAAATATCGATTCTTTATGTTTGTATAGGAGATGTGCATGAACTAGAAAGTATTCACAATTGACCATACGTTTGAGATTTACGTGAGGAAGAGTTATTAGCTTCTGTTGAACACTACTTATGACGCAATACATTTACTGTGTCGAAGATTAACAAGGATCAATCCTTCAAAAGGTACAGACATACAGTATAGGCATTATATAGTTTTTATCTACTTTCATCCATCATCATCAATGGTTACATGTCTCGATTAAGAAACATATCGATAATATAACTCCTAGACTATTTAATAAGATTTTAACAGCTCAGTGGCAGGAGGAATGGAATCAATATACCAATAATGAATTGCACTCCGTAAAATCTATCATCGGTGAATGGCCTCCATGCTTTAGAGAAAACCATCGAGGCGAAGTTTGTCTTCGGATGGGCCATACATACCTTACACATTCATATTTGTTGAAAGGCGAAGATAATCCTCGGTGTATAGGATGTGATGAGTCATTCACCGTTAAACATTTTTTATTGGACTGCATTGATCTTCTGTCTACTCGAGATTTTTTTATCGTAACGTTACAAGTCTAAAGACCCTTTTTGAAACGGTCGAGATTTGTAAAAGTCTAGGTTATCTGAAAGATGTTGGTCTATATAATAGACTATGACGTACTATTTTAATCTTTTGTGATTATATAACCATTTAAGATTTTAGCATTTGTCTGTTACCTTTAAGTTTGTTTATTTTTGGATAATTTGTGTTTTACCGTAATGGTCCTAATGACTTTTATGTGTTGACGGGCCTGTAAGAATGTAATAATAACGATGATAAAAATAATAATAGTACTAGAGTGATATTTGATTATTTATAACAAACTTTGTATACCCTTGATGTACCTACAGAAAAGTATGTATTGAAGAATGAAATGTATCCCCAACATGCATCCTATCCTAATGATATGAGTTTTAGATAAACCTAACGAAATATTAATGTACAAATGATCTAATGATGGGAAATCAACCTCCTCAAGTCAAATTGTTTTATCAACAACTCTAGATTTCTCCTGCCTTCGAGCCATGTGTCTACCACAGCCGCCATATTCTGAAAGTTTTTGGTATCTTGGCCAGGCTAAGTGAGGCCAGAAAAATGCAGTAAAAAGACTGTCAATTGAGTGATGAAACCCTTTTAGCGATTGGCCACTTGCCTCTCCCATGTGATAATACCATATTTAGGCATCCATGGGTTGGAACCATCGCTCGAGATTTAACCGTGTGTCTGATTCTTTTCCGTTATGCATTACATTACGAAGTAATAGCAAAATACACTGTTTGTATACTGCCTCGAATAAGCAAGACAATCAACGTTTTAATATTGCTTAAAGGTCATGATAACTACTACTGATAGTGGATAAAATCACGACATTATGAAAGAAACAGAGAATTTGAAAGAGTTTGGCATCATAAACAGTTTCAGAGCGGTCGACACATGACATTTTCCTTTTTATTCTGTTCCTATTTTCAAGTTTTCTATGTTAAAGACAGCTGAATAATTAAAATATGTATCATGACGGTTTGCTTTGCCTTGAAACAAACATTTCCATGTCTATTGCAGCCGGTGTCGCATAGACTGACATGATATATATTTCATTGTTAATTTCAGATACCAAGTCAACGATATGTTCAAACCATGCAATTATGTTTCTCAACAATAGCGCATTATTTATCTAACAGGATCAGTTACAACATTTACTTAAATAAGAAATTGATTCAAGACTTTTATTCCGCCAAAATATACAAAATGTCGACACCATTGGGGTTTGTTTCCTATGGCGATGTCTTTTTCACAGTGGGAATGTCTCGTGTGACTTGGACTTCACTTTGATAATGCTGCAGCTGTTGGCATTGACCCATGATTGTAATAAATAATGAAACTCCTGAGTTTTTATTTTAAATTGAAGGAATGAAATCCCCACTTACAGCTTACTTTGTGCTTCACTCTTCCACAGAATTTACGTCATGATTATTTGTAATACAAATAAAGTAAAAATGGAATGAGGTGTTAAAACGCCAATTTAAAAAAGGTCTGTTTCTCTTGTAGAAATGTGTCTTCGCAATGTGTCACGAAGCATTAACACATACGAGTAATAGTAATTAAGTGTATTTTCTAATACTTTGTAATATAATGCTTTCCGTCATGAAAGACAACCAATTTCGCATGCGATCGGTATATTCAGCTGCTTTTAAAGAATGCAGATAAACATGGCCGAGTGAAGATCCTGATGTCTTTGTAACCAATATATTAGACCAAGTGTTTGAGAGATAGAAACATGAAAGTATGTATTTTAGTTTTTGAATTGTCTCATTTTTTATTCTGATTTTGATAAGTTCTGTGTCCATAGACTAGAATGAACTGAAATATGATCTACAGTGTATACAGGAAGTAAAATCACAAGGACTGGGACACGAGATTATACCACTGGTCTAGCACGAGACAGTTTCACAAGATGTTTATCCCGCCAATAATTAACACGTCGACACCATTAGGTATTGCACCCTCTTTCGAAGATGAACCCATGATTAGTAGAAAAGAAGATAGGCCCCAGAAACGTTTTTATTTGACGTGGATCAAACGTCAAAATGTATGTCAAAATACACACCAAGATGAATCATTAACCCAAGTAGTTACCTCCTGTGATTAGTTGTGTAAAATATAGAACCGGTACAACTTCGGTTGTTTATTTTCCTCTCGTAAAAATTTTTTTTAGTAACGTGCATATCATTAATGCCATTCCGATATGAAAACATCTTAATATTGCTGTGTTTGTGTTATGCGTGTGTATTGGTTGATTGCTGTGTTTATGTTACGCATGTGTACTGGTTGATTGCTGTGTTTGTGTTAGACGTGTGTACTGGTTGATTGCTGTGTTTGTGTTAGACGTGTGTACTGGTTGATTGCTGTGTTTATGTTACGTGTGTGTACTGGTTGATGGCTGTGTTTATGTTAGACGTGTGTACTGGTTGATGGCTGTGTTTGTGTTAGACATGTGTACTGGTTGATGGCTGTGTTTATGTTACGTGTGTGTACTGGTTGATTGCTGTGTTTGTGTTAGACGTGTGTACTGGTTGATTGCTGTGTTTGTGTTAGACGTGTGTACTGGTTGATGGCTGTGTTTGTGTTAGACATGTGTACTGGTTGATGGCTGTGTTTGTGTTACGTGTGTGTACTGGTTGAATGCTGTGTTTATGTTACGTGTGTGTACTGGTTGAATGCTGTGTTTGTGTTACGTGTGTGTACTGGTTGATTGCTGTGTTTATGTTACGTGTGTGTACTGGTTGATGGCTGTGTTTATGTTAGACGTGTGTACTGGTTGATGGCTGTGTTTGTGTTAGACATGTGTACTGGTTGATGGCTGTGTTTATGTTACGTGTGTGTACTGGTTGATTGCTGTGTTTGTGTTAGACGTGTGTACTGGTTGATTGCTGTGTTTGTGTTAGACTTGTGTACTGGTTGATGGCTGTGTTTGTGTTAGACATGTGTACTGGTTGATGGCTGTGTTTGTGTTACGTGTGTGTACTGGTTGAATGCTGTGTTTATGTTACGTGTGTGTACTGGTTGAATGCTGTGTTTGTGTTACGTGTGTGTACTGGTTGATTGCTGTGTTTGTGTTAGACATGTGTACTGGTTGATGGCTGTGTTTGTGTTAGACATGTGTACTGGTTGAATGCTGTGTTTATGTTACGTGTGTGTACTGGTTGATGGCTGTGTTTATGTTAGTGTGTGTACTGGTTGATTGCTGTGTTTGTGTTAGACATGTGTACTGGTTGATGGCTGTGTTTGTGTTACGTGTGTGTACTGGTTGATGGCTGTGTTTATGTTACGTGTGTGTACTGGTTGAATGCTGTGTTTATGTTACGTGTGTGTACTGGTTGATTGCTGTGTTTGTGTTACGTGTGTGTACTGGTTGATTGCTGTGTTTGTGTTAGACATGTGTACTGGTTGATGGCTGTATTTATGTTACGTGTGTGTACTGGTTGATTGCTGTGTCTGTGTTACGGGTGTGTACTGGTTGAATGCTGTGTTTATGTTACGTGTGTGTACTGGTTGATTGCTGTGTTTGTGTTACGTGTGTGTACTGGTTGATGGCTGTGTTTGTGTTAGACATGTGTACTGGTTGATGGCTGTGTTTATGTTACGTGTGTGTACTGGTTGATTGCTGTGTTTGTGTTAGACATGTGTACTGGTTGATGGCTGTGTTTATGTTACGTGTGTGTACTGGTTGAATGCTGTGTTTATGTTACGTGTGTGTACTGGTTGAATGCTGTGTTTATGTTACGTGTGTGTACTGGTTGAATGCTGTGTTTGTGTTAGACGTGTGTACTGGTTGAATGCTGTGTTTGTGTTACGTGTGTGTACTGGTTGATGGCTGTGTTTATGTTATGTGTGTGTACTGGTTGATGGCTGTGTTTATGTTACATGTGTGTACTGGTTGATTGCTGTGTTTGTGTTAGACATGTGTACTGGTTGATGGCTGTGTTTGTGTTAGACATGTGTACTGGTTGATGGCTGTGTTTATGTTACGTGTGTGTACTGGTTGATGGCTGTGTTTATGTTACACGGGTGTACTGGTTTATTGCTGTGTTTGTGTTACGTGTGTGTACTGGTTGATGGCTGTGTTTATGTTACGTGTGTGTACTGGTTGATGGCTGTGTTTATGTTATGTGTGTGTACTGGTTGAATGCTGTGTTTAT